GTGGAATGTGCAGGTGATGTTGAGATCAAAACAATGACCAATGAACAGCACAAGATTTTACTAGAAGGTGTACAGTATATTCCTGGTTTAACAACTAACTTATTATCAGTAGGCCAGTTAATCAATAATGGAAATAGAGTAAGTTTTCATGAAGAGGGATGCAATATTTACAATAAAGTTGGTGTATCAGTAGCTACTGCTAGTCTACATAACAACGTTTACAAGTTGAACGTTTGTGAGGAGCCAGTGTGTTTTCAAGCTGTAAGTAGCAATTTATGGCATCAACGTTTAGGTCACATTAATGACAGCTACCTGAATAAGACAGCCAAGTTGGTTGATGGTCTTATCTGTAATGGTACAAGCATTGGGAGTTGTGAGGTATGCTGTAGGGGCAAGCAAGCCCGTTTACCTTTTCCCAAAGAAGGCAGTCGAGCACAGCAACTGCTAGAGGTCATTCATAGCGACATTTGTGGTCCTATGGAAACAACATCTATTGGTGGAGCTAAATATTTCCTGACATTTATAGATGATTACAGCAGAATGTGCTTTATATATTTCCTGAAGACAAAAGATGAAACTTTTGATAAGTTTAAGCAATTTAAATCATTAGTTGAGAATCAACAGAATGTTAAGATTAAGATTTTGCGAAGCGATAATGGTGGGGAATTCTGTAATAGAGAAATGGATAGTTTTTTAAAGAATTCAGGCATCATACACCAGACTTCGAGCAGTCACACTCCGCAGCAAAATGGGATGGCTGAGAGGTTCAACCGGACCATTGTGGAGAAGGCTAAGTGTCTTTTATTTGATGAGAGCTTGACCAAGGCATTATGGGCGGAAGCGTGTAATACTGCTTGTTACCTGAAAAACCGTTCAGCATGTTCAAAGCTTTCAATGACACCATATGAGATTTGGACAGGTAAGAAACCAAATCTTAGTCATCTTAGGGTATATGGGAGTACCGCCATGGTTCATGTTCCGAAGGTCAGTAGGAACAAGTGGGACGAGAAGTCAGTGAAGCATGTGCTTGTTGGGTACGATGAAACTACCAAAGGATATAGGTGTTTTAACCCCAGAACAAGGAAAGTCATAGTAAGCCGTGATGTAACAATCATAGAGAAACCAAGTTTGGAAATTCCAAGTACAGTGTTGCCGGATAGTGTTCCAGATAAGCAAAGGGAAGTTCCAGATTCAGTGGGAGAGCAGAATCCCATGTATTCAGATGATGAATCTTCTGAAGATGATGTATACTTCTCGGATGATGATGAATATGTGCCTGAAGGTCAGTGCCATGACTTGTTTGATAATGGTGAACAAGTAACTCCAAGAAGATCCCAAAGACAGATCAAGAAGAAGAATTTTCAAGATTTTGTGACATATTTTGGAGGTGTTAACAGCAAGGGTGAAGTCTATGACTCGAGTATCCCTACATCAGTGACTGAGGCTCTTTCAAGGCCAGATGGGCAGAAGTGGAAAGAAGCTATGTCAGAAGAAATACAGTCATTTATCGATAATGACACTTGGGAATTAGTAGATCCGCCAGAAGTTGGTACAGTGGTGCAGTGCAAGTGGGTATATAAAGTGAAGAGTGATAATGAAAGCCATAACCGGTATAGAGCTAGGCTTGTGGCTAAAGGTTTCACACAGAGAGAGGGTGTGGACTATGTTGAAACCTTCGCCCCAGTGGTAAGGCACTCAACTTTTCGTTTATTGCTTGCTTTGTCTGTTAGGCTAGATCTAAAAATTTTACACTTGGATGTGAAAACAGCTTTCTTGAATGGTATTCTGAAAGAAAATGTATTTATGCAGCAACCTGAAGGTTTTGTCATTAAAGATAAAGAAAATAAAGTGTATAGATTGAAGAAAGCAGTTTATGGATTAAAACAATCTAGTCGTGCTTGGAACGAAAAAGTCGACCAAGTTTTGTCAAAAATTGGTTATTCTAAGTCCAAATATGAGCCTTGTTTGTACATTAAAAGGAATAACAGTAATTTGTTAACCATTGTTGCTCTCTATGTTGACGATTTTTTCTGTTTTTCGTCTGATGACAATGAAATGAAGTTTCTTGAAGGTCATTTAAACTCAAAGTTTAAAATTAAGAATTTAGGAGAGGCAAAACAATGTTTAGGTATAAGAATTACTAGGGATTATTCGAAAAATTGTTTGTCAATTGATCAAGAATTGTATATTAATGAACTTTTATGTCGTTTTGGTATGTCAGATAGCAAAGTAGTAAGTACTCCGCTTGACAGTAGTATCAACTTGAGCGATATCAGTGGTGAAATTTGTGATCCAAAAGTTCCATATCAAGAGCTTATTGGAAGTTTAATGTACCTTTCGGTAATGACCAGACCTGATATTTCTCATGCTGTGAGCTTATTAAGTCAGTATAATAACTCATACACTAAAGTTCATTGGCAATCTGCAAAGCGTTTACTTCGTTATTTAAAGGGTACAAAGAGCTTGTCTATGAAATTTTTTAAGGATAATTTAAATTTGACAGGTTTTGCAGATGCAGATTGGGGGTCCAATAAGCAAGACAGAAAGTCATTTACTGGTTATGTATTTAAATATTCAGGGGGTTCAGTTTCATGGAAAAGCTGTAAACAACGTACTGTTGCTTTGTCGACAACTGAGGCAGAGTATATGGCTCTAAGCGAGGCAGCAAAAGAGGCCATATATCTGAGGAATTTGTTGAGCGAGTTAACTGGAAAATTGGATTGTATTGAGATTCATAATGATAATCAAAGTGCTCAGAAGCTTGCTAGCAATCCAATGTTCCATGATAGGTCAAAGCACATAGATATAAGGTACCATTTCTTGCGAGATATTGTGTTAGAAGGTAAAGTGAAATTAATGTATACACCTACTAACGAAATGGTTGCAGATGTTTTAACGAAACCATTACAAAATGTTAAGAATTCAAAGTTTGTAAAGGGTTTAGGTTTAAGTTAAGTTGTGCATGACAGATATTTTAAAAGGTTTTAGAGAACCATTAGTAAACTTTTGTTAAGTGGGAGTGTTGTGAATAAGTATACCAAAAGTTTACTGTAGCTGTTATATATTTAAAATTGGTCAAAGTAGCGACATCTAGTGTCATATGTCGTTACTACTGTGTTTGTCCACTATGTGCATGTCACTCTGTAATGTCAGAGTAGTTGCAATATACCATCATAAGCGTGAACAAGTGTTTTCTTTCATCTCGCTAATCTCGCTTTAAGTTGCGTTTAAGTTCGGGTTGAACTGTGAAAAGTGTGTAAACTCTGTTAAAAACATCATATTTCCGAAAAATATTTTGATAATTTCAACTCTTTCTGCTGTGGAATATACCATGGTTAATTTATGTAATAAAGCGTAACAAGTTATTTTAGCAACAAAGTTTGGTCAAATCAATCGCAAACTATGTACTAAATTCCTATTTAAAATAAGTACCAGATATTTCCTTATCTTTCTTCAAGAAATAACTTTTTTGCCACAAAAAAACGCTCCAAAAGCTATTTTCAACAACAAAATGATAAACAAACCATGGGCATAGTGAAGAAAAGCATTTACTTATTAAGTAAATTCTTTTAGACAAAATTTCTTCTGAAAGTAGTACAAACTAATCTGATGTACCTATTAAAGTCTACTTTAAGCTTCAAATCAATTAATCTTCAAAACTACTGAACTGAAGCTCATGTATTTTACATCATTATAAAGGGAATTGAAAGACCTTTAAAATAAGGTATCACACGACCCCCCTTTCCATTTAAGATTTTAGGTTTGCTGTCACCCACGCCCAGGGGGCTGCACGTGTTAACGTGACTTTTTGCCAAACTTGTGTCCTCGAAAACAAAATCGACGGGTCTGAGCGTTTTTCCCCAAAAAAAAAACTGAGCTGCCAGTAAATGCGTCTGTTTCGTTTTCGATGCGCCACCCTGTATATACCTGTATAACTTTTAGTAAAGTTGAATTAAAATGCAATATAGATTTCCACTAATTCTCATGTAGTACCATATTGGCTCAGCTTAACATTTACAATTTTGTCATAGTTGATTTTTATAAAAAAATTCACTTCATTTACTTTCGTGGGGCTTGAGAGGAGGACAGCTCCTTCAAAAAGACTCATAAACTTCAATATATACAGCGACAGTGAAAATAATGAGAAAAGTGAATGTTTTCAATTAAAAGTGAGTAAAAGTAAGATGGATTGAAAAAAATGAGAAAAAAGTTTTTTAGGATTCCTGCTGGTTCAGCCATTCGGTGCATAGTAGGGCATATTGAGTTATCAACTTTGATAGTTGTACAGATAGGTTAGGTCAAGATTTTTTTATTGTAAATCATATTAATAGGAAATTGTTTGAATTTGTAGAAAAACATGGAATTCCAAAATATACTTATCTGGGATTGGTATTTAAAAAAGTGGTTAATAGCACAGATCAGGAGAGCTTGATGTTTCAATGTCATATATAAAAACACTGTCAAAAGCTACAGCCATCTGACAATTTATTGCTTTCACTCAAACAGCTCTCTCACTGTTTTTTTCTGTGATAGACACAAGCACACAATATTATCAGGAAAATTTAAGAACAGCCAAAATATAAAAAAAGTTCATATAGACATCAGTCTGGAAATCCCTTGTTTACATGATAAGAGGAGCTTAAGCTTGCATGGATAAAATTGCACATAGATGGTTTATTAAAAAATAAACTTTCTTCAAGTCATAGATTCTGCTAATCGAACAATATTTGTTAAAATAGTGGACTGCCCCAATGTTTATTTAGTATTTGTATATATGTATTTAATTTTATGACACAACTTGGTGGAAGCATGGACTTATTGGAACAGGTTGCTCGTACAAGCAGATTATTCTCCCTTAAGTTACCTCTCTGCCAATGAATGGGAAGATGTCCACCATTTGAATGATGAGACATAGCACAGCATCAACTAAACTGTACAATAATTGTTTCCACAAAAGTACAATGTACTCTGGGATCATTATCCTATACTTTCATACTTACCATACATTCCTTGTCCTTATCCCAGATCCACATCTGCTCAGTGACTTTTTCTACAGATCCAATATAGGTATCAGGACGGAGCAAGATGTGTTCCAGCTGAGATTTCTTCTGGTAGATCTTCTCAATTGTATCAGCTTTTTTCGATGACTTCGCAGGAGCAGCTGAAGCTGCAGGTTCATCATCGCCAGCATCCCCATTTGTTGTTGCTTTTGATGACATTTTTGAAAATATGTTCTGAAAATAATTATATCAGGTGAGAAGCTTTTGAGTTAATCTTCTTAAGAAACAGAAGTATCACTACTGACAGTTCAAGTTCATATACAGGGTCATTCCATACATCATAACACAACAGCTATTATTTATTAAAATCTACAGGTTTTCTTTTCTTATCCTTAAAAAAAAACTAGCACAAGTACACTGGCCTAACACAAGTGTTTTGATGTTGCTTATGTTTTTCTTATACAATTTTGCTGACAATAAAGATTATTATTATTATTATTATAATAAAAGAGGGACAGTTTGATTGCAAAGGTCAAAATAGGGAGAACAGTTTTACCATATTATTATACAGAGCATTTCCAAAACTTTCAGCCAAATTCAAGGGGTGATTAGGTATTTATAGAATTCTAAAACTATTTCAATGTCTGACTGTTATAGAAATACAGGTTCATTTTTGAGATACACATCCCTAAAGGATGCTACTGACTCTCAGTTTTCCTCTAATGAAATGTGAATAATACCCCAATTAGATTTGGACAACCTAGTCGCTAGTGCCTTTAAGGTGATTGAAGAGCAGGGCGACCTGCAATTGAACATCAATGATTCTGACAGTGAATGCCCTTGTGGTAATTGAAGAGTGTGGGGAATAGCCAATGATAATTTTCATAAAGCCAAAAAAATTAAACAAAAGCAACCATTTCCTGTAGGCAGAACCCATTAAAATTTGGCTGGACAGGACAGAAAAAGGCCTAAGTGATGGCAACCACAGTCACATTAAGAATACAGCAGTTTTGATAACTGCCAACATCCAAATCCCAGCTATAAATTTTAATCTAAGTTTGTTTAAGAAAAACTGGTTAGCAGTGCCATCCTTGCTGAGCTGTGTCTCTAAAACAAAGCAATCCTTGCTTATGATTGAACATTTGTAGTTCAGGAATTCTAGTAACCTAGATGCTAGATAAACTTAAGAATGAAATAAATAAAAAAGAAAGGATAACTGAAAAAAACAAAAAGGCAAAAGGATTTTCCATGCACATATGCCAGACTTTCTTTTTCTAGATCATTGCACAAAGTTCCAAAGCATATACTTATTTGTAAACACAACACAGCAGTGCCTCTTTAGCATATAGTACAGACAACACTATATTCTGTACAATGAGGTTTAAAATATTAGTGTATCCATATCATTTTATTTTTGCATTTCTTATGAGATTAGATACAAGAAGGCCTGCTGTAAGCTGAATAGTTCCATGTGACACTTGAAAGCTTAGTGTTCATTAAAATTTGTTGAGGAGTGTATACATAATGTATACACTACCTTGTAAAGAATATTTCAAATTGTGCATTATCTTGAAACCTTCCAGTTTACGAAGGAGAACTCATGTCTAGAAGTATAAGAATAATAAAATGCCATCAAGATGTGGCTATGAGAGTAAGCAAACCAGTTTGGAAATTACATTTTTTTAAATCAAGCTGTTTAGAACCGCCATTTCTCACCTGGACCAATGAGATTGTGAACTTCCTAGGATATTCACAACTTTTGTGAATAGTAGTTAAATAATGATACGCTTTCGATATTCTCATGAATCAACAAATCTTTTGCAAACGGATAGGTGTTGTTTGCAATCAAATTAAAAAATTAACAAGTAAACCACCTAAGATGGCAGTTTAACCTTAGCACAATAGAACCAAAGAATTCAAAGAACTACATTGTATATCTTACCCGTATATCGCTCATATTGGATGAATTAATAAATTACATGGGTAAACACGAAAATCATGTAGTTTTTATCATAACTCATCTATTAAACTTTTACACTCCACTGTTAACAATGTTGTTAAATGGCAGACAAAAGATGTAGCCGATCGGCAAACGCCGAATGCTGTATTATCGGGGACTTTCGAACCTACTCGGAAAATAATTTAAAATTTCCTCCAATCGGATACCTGAAATTTGAACTACGATTGTAATCGATAACGGTCGTCCGATATTCAACGGTTTTTATCGTTATCTTTATTAGATATTTGGCGGTTTCTCATGCTTTTCTATCTTTTTATTCGTTAAAATCATTTATCACTTCAAAGAGGAAAATAATAACGCAATAAAGTTAGTAAAATCACAAAACATATATACTGAAATAAATACTAAGAAAAATATTTCCATATAATTCGTTCTATGATTCATCAACATTCTTCTCTATCTCCGTGTTTTATGTCATAATCACATGCCAAATTTCTAACCACAAATTTGAATATGTCAAAATCAAAATAGAAGAAAAATATGCGGTATAATTATTATGACTGGAGAAAAATCTCGTATTGAAGTGATAATAGACCAAATAAACTCAAGCAATGCTAAAAAGGTAGCGTTGTTGATGGTAATAGGCTTTGCGTGCTATCATGCTATTTTACACGCTAAATATGGTGAGTTAAACACCAGACACCAGAACCAAAAAGTTAGCTATTCATATGATTTTAGGAACAAACTCCTGCAAATGGTTACTTTCTGATGGAAGGTATAAAGCAGACCAAGAATGGCAACCATACGGTTGTATGCTGCATTTGTACAGTAAAATGTACGTGATTTTTGAGAATATTAGTATAATCTGAATAATGACTGAATTGCAGTGATACAAGGCGGTGCTTGCGATACATCGCCTACTATGGATCCGACTCACACTTTGCTTTCATTGGAGACTCTCGGATCAAAGAAATGTATGAAGCTTTAGTGGAGCACTTAATGCAAGACGATGACTTCACTTATAGGCCTACAAATTCATATACAAACCTGACTCATATAGATAATAAGCTGAAAATGAAAGTTGACTTCATTTGGGATACCTTTATTTCGAGGAAAATGGTGCAAACCTTAAGGTAAATTGATTCAGAACATGCATATATATGAAGAATTTTTTATGTAAGACATTGGGCATCATTATTGGTAGCCAAGCATCACCATGGTGCACGTAAACAGACCCAGAACAGCATTTGCTTTGTGGATATCTAAGCACTTGCCTACTTATTCAGCACAAGGTATAAGGATAACAAAATACCTACCTGGCTCACATCATGTAGAGTGAGAATTTTTTATTCTATATGTTATGAATACACTTTAAAGTTAGGCAACAGTGTTTTCCAAACTTTATGTTGCAATGACTTGGAGCCTCCATTATTTGTTCAGAGACAATTGCGATATTATTATAATATAATATGATATAATTAGATAGCCCGTTTTGGATGATTTCATTGTCCATCACTTGTAGCATAATATTAAACATACTTTGTTTAAATGTACATGTGTTCAAACTTCCATTTATTTATGCTGGGGATATTTATCATCCATTAGTTGCTTATGAGATACATTTTTTATTCAATAAGCAGTAAAATATTGTACTGGACATTCTAATGATTCTTTAACGTTCACTAGTTCACCATAATAAATAGAATTCTTAGAAGCTTCATCACATATTGGATTTGCCATTTTTGTAAATGTTATTCTTAAAATGCATGCTGAGTAGAATATTTTTTTCATGAGATTTTGAAAAATAAATATACAGTAATGGACAAAAGTTTATAGACAAACATGAATATTTACCTAAATACCTTTAGAAAACGAATTCACACTTCATTGCTCCATAAACAAATGCGTTATTAGTAGAAAAACTAAATTCCTTGTTTTTACATTATCTGCAATGAACACAATACAAGTCTGAATGTAAGCACTTTTTTATGAGGGACAAAAATATGTGTTTGGTGTCAGAAGGGGATTAGTTTGTGTTCATCAGGTATTGTGGAATAAGTTGAGTGATTTTAAGACCATGCCGCATGGTCCAGACATTTCTTTCGATATGAAAACTAAGATAATTGAGTTATACAAAGATGGTCAACATCAAATCGACATTGTTAAAAATTTGAAGCTGAAGCACAACAAAAATGTATCTTGGAAGCCTCTAAGAGAAGTGGTCGGCCTAGAAAACTATAAGAAGAAGATTAAATGATTTGAGGTTATTTGCACGTCGCCTGAGTAAGAAGCCGCTAATCTCGAGGAAAAACCGTAAGGACCGATCACAATTTGCACAGTTGCCTCTTGATTGGAGAATCTGTGACTGGAAGAGGGTATGTTTTAGTGACAAATCCAAGTTCAATATGTTTGGATCAGATGGTGCTCATTATGTTAGACGTCCTAGTGGACAAAGATTGAACCCCATGGAGGCGGGTCTGCATGTCATGTTACCCTATATGGTAGACAATATGCCCTTAAGATCAATCTTCCAGCCAGATAATGACCCGAAGCATACCTCAAATCTCGCAAAGAAATTCTTTCTGCATGAAAAAATACCAGTTCACAAACCGCCTTCACAGTCTCCCGATATAAACCCCATTGAAAATCTATGGGAATACTTAGATAAGCAAATACGAGATAAAAATTATTCCAGCAAGGATGAACTTTTTGATGCTTTAGACCAAAAGTGGAGACAGATCGATGAATCTTATATCAAGAAACTTCTACAATCTATACCGACACGATGGGAGGCAGTGATTGATAATAATGGTTATGCTACAAAATATTAACACAAACATGGTTGGTTTTCTATAATTTAATGAATGTTGTTTCTTTTTTCTATAATTGTTCTATGGATGGATGGCTCAGTTCAGACAGTTCGACTGATCAATGACTTTTCTCTAACTAACAGTCTCGGGACCTTTTCGCACCGACGGACCGTCGGCTCTCTTCTACCCCTTCACCAATGGGTTTTGCTCCTCAGAGCTCTCCTCCATGATGCTGCCGCGCGATGTGCTTGCCAGACAAACCCATATGACTTTCACCTTTCATCCTAACCTTGTTGAACTTCATATATCCCTAACTGGCTGTTACGACCGCTCCTTTGTCCCTAGGGTGTCTACTTCTACTTACCATAGGCAGCTCAAAAATCGGATTAGCAAAGTTTCTTGTGCGTGTGTGTGCGCCCAAGAGCATGTATAGCAGCCGCGTTAAGAATCGGCTCAAACTGTGTGTAATTTTCGTAGGGAAGTTACGCTTTGCTCAGGATAAATTTAACAGTTTTTAAATATTTACTGGTAGTTTGGCAACACTGCACCAGGAGATGCCGGGCATCTATGAGCGAATCGTCAAACCAACGGCGGTTTGTATACAGGGTTATCCAAATTAAGTGTCCACCATTAGTAACTTTGTTATTAGTGAAAATACAAAGTTGTTTGAATTAGCAAACTAGTAGCATTTTTAACGCTGGTAAAAATGAGAAATAAAAAAAAACAATTGAGAGTCGTTATTTAGATTTTTTTCAATAAAATAACATTTTTTTAAATGGAAACCCCTGTATATTATATTTTTTTCTGTTAAAGCATCAAATTTTAAACAAAAAAGTTCATAATGACTTTTCCGCTAAAGTCAAAAATAAAGTCAAAATAACGATAAATATTTTTAATTATTTGCAGTATTATAATATTAAGACGGCTATGAAAACAACATGGCGTTCGCGATTTGACAGCATTAAGATAAGCGACAAATTGTTAAACTGGACATACTCGCAACTAGAAGGCTTTGGAAAACAATGATAAAATCAAATAATGTCAAACATTAGTGTAAATACTTGTTTATAAGCTTTATTGTGTCATTAATTTAAAGAAAAATGTTCTCCCATGAAGAAAAGTGTGATATGTTATGCCGGCTTCTCACTGCGTGTGTTGACCCGCGCCACGCCGCGCCGGCACGCGCCTCGCGCAGTGTGAAGAGCTTGGCGCGGGCAGGCGCGGCGTGGCGCGACCTATCCGCTAAAAGTCGGTAACTTCAAAGGCGCGGCGCGGCGTGTACCTACCCAGACAGACGAACACGATTGAACTCGTTCATTTCATTTTGACTCGTCCTACGTTGAGGTACTGTGGTGAATATGGAGTGGCCGAATGAAACGATCGCCGAATTTTTAACTTTGTATTAAGGCGAACCCTCTCTGTGGAATTCGAAAAATGCGGAGCATAAAAACAAAAACGACCAGCATGATGCCTGGCTGCGAATTAAACAGAATTTAAAAGGTGGTACCATACCGTTACAAGAAATTAAAAAGAAAAGGGATTCTTTAATGGGAACCTATAGAAAATTAAGAAGTAAAGTTTGCCAATCAATAAAGTCTGGCAGCAGTGCTGATGAAATCTATAAGCCTGACTGGCCATTTTATAATGTGATGGCCCAATTTTTGAATGATGTGTATACTCCAAAGAAAACGAAGGATTCTGAGGTAAGTACTTTATTTACTTAAAAAATTAATAATTATTTTGCCAGGCAACCGCACCGTTTGTTATAAAATATTCTGCAAGCTGGTCTCTTATATTCTTGGCGGAAAGAGGTGCTCTTCTTGGCCGATTTTGGAGTGGTAGTAGGGAAGCAACTCCATTTTGGTCATCACGCCAAGAACCGGGCTGAATCTCGCCATCATCATTTTCGGTATCAAAGGATCCAGGAGGGGTATATATAAGTCTAGACCTTTTAGACCGTCTCAAAAAATTGTGTAACAATGCACATGTCATCACAATATCAGTTACAATATCTGGTTGTAAAAGCATGGGTTTTCTTAGTACTCTAAACACCGCAGACATAATGCCAAAGACATTTTCAACAATCCGTCGAGCTCGTGAAAGGCGGTAATTAAACACGCGTTCTTTAGATCCCTTATTATGAGTTCCAGCGTAAGGTTTCATCATATTTTCCGTTAGAACAAATGCACTGTCTGCAACAAATACGTAAGGTAGAGGTGTTACTTTCAGCGGTAAGCAGTCTGGCGGTGGAAAACCCAATTCCTTTCTACAGATTTGTTTATATAAGTTGGTGTTTCTGTATACACCACCATCGCTTATTCGGCCCTGGCACCCACAATCCACAAAAATAAAATTGTAATCCGCGTCGACTAAAGCCATTAATACAACACTGAATGTTTTGTGATAGTTGATAAACTCAGATCCACTATGAATAGGACTTTGTATTAGCACATGTTTTCCGTCGATAGCTCCTAAGCAGTGAGGAAAATTCCAAGTTCTGCGGAATCCTTTCTCTATCCTTAACCAGTCAGATGATGTCCGTGGCAGCTAAAACAAATAGAAATATTGTAAATTATCATGAATATTTCTTATTTTTAGGTCACTGACGACATAGAAGAAATAGAAGATAACCGTGATTTAGATGCCTCTGAAGATAGTAAACAGGATGATGAAGAATCAGTTCAATTTAAAAGACCAAAACCTCTTCCTAAAAAACGTGCTAAAAATATTGATATAGAAAATAAAATGAACGAAGCATACGACTATATAAAACAAATGACTCAAAAACCCCAAATCCCGCAAGATGAATGTTCATTATACACACAATTATTGTGCAAAAAATTGAGAGGCTTACCAGAAAATACACGTGAAATAGCGATGTTGGAAATTGATAGATTGATTTTCAATCTGAAGCAAAAAGAACTATCGTCAAACCCACATGCACAAATACTAATCAACCCACCACAGCCCACGAATTTTGGACATTCCGGCAATCTCTACTATCAGCCATCCACATCCTACCATCCATATCCTTCTCCACAGCAATCCCCAACCTATCATCCATCGCCTTCTTCACAGTCATCCCCAAACTATCATCCATCGCCTTCTCCACAGCAATCCCCAACCTATCATCCATCGCCTTCTTCACAGTCATCCCCAAACTATCATCCATCGCCTTCTCCACAGCCATCCCCAACCTATCATCCATCGCCTTCTTCACAGTCATCCCCAAACTATCATCCATCGCCTTCTCCACAGCAATCCCCAACCTATCATCCATCGCCTTCTTCACAGTCATCCCCAAACTATCATCCATCGCCTTCTCCACAGCCATCCCCAACCTATCATCCATCGCCTTCTTCACAGCCATCCCCAACCTATCATTCATTATCTTCTCCACAGCCATCCCCAAACTATCCATCTCCACAGCTGTCGCAAGTCGAAACATCAGCTTCGCAAAGTCTATTAAAAGATTTCTATGAAGAGGAGGGTAGTAATTTAGTTTAAATGGATGATGTCAATTTCTATTTGTTTACGATTTGAAAAAAATAAATGCTTAATTCTACTACTTACTTTTATTTCTTGTGATAGTTCTTTTATCAATGCTTTACAAACGTCCGTGACACAACTTGAAACTGTTTGGATAGATACTTTGAAAAGATATGAAAGGCTTGTGTAACTATCTCCGGTTGCTAAAAATCTGAGAGCAATTGCAAACCGTTCTTGTACTGGAATACATTTTCTCATATGGGTATCTTGTTTTGCAATGATAGGGCCTATTTTATTCATTAGATAGTTGTAATCTTCTGGTGCCATTCTACAGAAGTTCTCAAATTTTCTGCTCGGTTCTTTAACAAAATCCGATAGCATATCTGATCCATTGTATCTGAAACAAAAATACAATAATTTTTACTAAATTTTCCGGCAGCAAAGTTTCATTTTAAAACGCGCCAAACTTACCAATAGATACCATCAAATATATTGATAGGATTCTTAAAAATTACGTACCTATGTAATTATCTCAAAATACAAACAATGATTACCTTGACCGGCTCTTATTGAACGTTGACATCCACCAGCGTCTCCTCTTCTTGTTTTTGTTAATTTTATTAAGTAAACGATATCCACAAAATAAGACAAAAACGGCTGATGCAACAGCCATGCCTTCTTCTTCAGTGGCATTGCTCCATGGCTGGAGGTGGCAATTCGACTCACAAGACATAGTGCGCTGCGCTAAACAGACTGAATCAAACTGAGGTGTAAAGCCAGAAGGCACGCGCCGCGCCGCGCCGCACAAACGGGTGGCGCGGCGTGTCGCGTGGCGTGTTCTTGCGCGTGGAGCGGCGCGACGCGTAGTAGCACGCGTAGTGAGAAGCCACCATTAGAATGCTATTTAGTGTGCAGAAAATCCTCCTTGAGAGCAAGAGAATACTACAGTGAATTATATCCCGCTCGCATTCAACCGTATGAACGATATTTTCTGAGACTTTATCGAAAATTTAGGGGCAACGAAAATGTTTTTGCTAAAACAAGGGCAAAAAAAGAATTCATAATAAGCGAGGCCACGGAAATTGCAGTTATTGGATATTTTGAAGCTTATCGTGAGAATTCAATAGCAGATATTCTCAAGGACTCTAATTTCAGTTATGGTACTGTTCAAAGGATTTTAAAAAAATACAAATTTATTCCGTATAAGTACCGACCAGTTCAAACGCTTTTGGCAGGGGATCCAGAGAGAAGACTTGTTTTTTGCCATTGGTATCTTAGCTTCTGTCGCCAAAATGTAAATAACTTTCGTTACCTTTTATGGACAGATGAATCAAATTTTTCAAATTCTGGAATGTTTAATAGAAAAAACCACCATTATTGGTCAAGAGAAAATCTTTTGTTAGTACATCCAAGAGGCCCACAAGTCCGTTTCAGTTTCAACGTTTGGTGCGGTATAATTGGTTCAAAAATTGTTGGCCCGTTCTTTTATGAGGGAACCCTAACTGGTGAAAGATATGTGGAATTTATGTCAGAAATTCTGACTAATTTCTTAGACGAATTGGATCTTATAAGTAGACATCATCTGCATTTTCAGCAAGATGGCGCACCTGCCCACAACTCCAGAGGTACTTATCATTTTCTAAGTACTACTTTTAATGATCAGTTGATAGGAACAAATGGCCCAATACAGTGGCCTCCCAGATCACCAGATCTAAACCCACTTGATTACTTCTTGTGGGGTTACTTAAAGAACCAAATTTACAAGCGAAGGTACGATAACCTTGACGCGTTAAAGACTGCAGTTAGGGAAAAGATAACCCAGATAGATGGTAGGACCATACTTAAGACAGTTCGAGCAGTTGAAAAACGTGCCCAAAAATGTATTGAAGAACAAGGTGGTGTTTTCGAGCATCTTCTTTAAAAAAAATTGTTATTGTATTTTGTAAGATTATAAGTTGATGTTGAAAATAAAGTTTGTCGATACAATTTAATTGTTTCAGATTGGAGGCCATAACTTCAACAATTTGTAACCTAGGAGAAAAGTTATTGTAAGCTTTTTTGTTTAAAATTTGATGCTTTAACAGAAAAAAATATAATATACAGGGGTTTCCATTTAAAAAAATGTTATTTTACTGAAAAAAATCAAAATAACGACTCTCAATTGTTTTTTTTTATTTCTCATTTTTACCAGCGTTAAAAATGCTACTAGTTTGCTAATTCAAACAACTTTGTATTTTCACTAATAACAAAGTTACCAATGGTGGACACTTAATTTGGATAACCCTGTATATGAGCGAAAAAACAAACCAAGGGCGGTTGACTCACTCACTCGCTGTATTTTTGTTGTAAACCGGTAACGCAGAAGAAACTCAAGGTCAATGGAGCCACACGGCGGATTATAAAGATATTCCACGAAGTGTCTTGTCGTGTTATAATTACTCTCTGGTCATATTTCATCATCTATCCAGAATAAGAATGTTACAGTTGGCCGATTCTTTCGATGGAAAATACAGAGGATGGACACCAGTTCTCTTTTAATGTATGAATGTTATACTTTTTCTTAACACACCAGCGAAAAGACAGCAACAAACTGCATCATATATGAAAGATATACACGAAATTTAAAAAAGTTCTGATTAGCCATTAAAAACTTGCTATACCTTGTTTATTTTATACATATATTCATAGCTAACATACATAATTGTTATAGTATGATGTCACAGTTTGTAGATTGTATATCGTACTTTTCAGAAATTGGCAACTGTCTCCTAGTGCTCCATCAGTAATCATAGTAGGTTCAGCCATATGGCCAATATTGTCATCCAATGCTTCCTTATACATGCTCCAAGAATATAAGGTGAACCTTACAAGACTTGTACAACCAATCGACGGTTTGCATGAGAAAAAAACTAAAGTGCTTTGGGTACTTCAAGCACCAATTAATAGAGAGAAGTTGAAACCAGAGTACCAGCCTGTCACAAATGAGCAGGTTGATCTATACAACAAGGCTGCAATTGAAGTAGGTATTCAGTTTATTAAAGTGACGTCATATTATTTTTTAAGTAATAATTATTGTTTTTTCATTAATATCTTTTACATACTGCATCCCACCTCTGTAATACTACAGCTGCTACATAAATCAAGCACATAGGGGGTGTCCCATGTAGACTAAAGCAAATACAAGATAAAATAGTGACAAAATATAATAGAACGTTGAATATGGTAACACAAATCACTATATAACATACTGATAAGGAGGGTAGAATTTAGTAAAATTATGAGTGGTTACATAGTTGCTCTGTAAAAGACAAATAAGGAAAACGGATGAATACCAATTACAGAACAGTTCAACAATCACCTTGCAATGCACACCTCAATGTCCCAATACAACATAATTATGTTTAAGACTTGTCAAAATTACATCGAGATCATTACAATTAATATCTCAGCCCATGCAGAGTTTATTAAAAGAACTGCACATACTACTTATAGGTGCCATATCTGGAATATTTGTTTTACCATTTGTAAAAAGGTACATGGTGGCATATAACTTTCAGGTACGGAAATATTGTTTTTACACCTATACAGTAAGTCTGGGCAGTCTAACAAAGTTTTACAGGACTGTAACCTCAATGATTTAAATGTCATAATTGAATAATTGAAGTATCGATCGATTTGTGTGCAAAACCCGTCTCAGTGTAGTATCCATCCAACTTTAAAATGCGTATATTTCAAGTTCTTGCATTGAACTGATTTTATCGCAGTGGTTGCATTTTGATACAGTGGTGTCCAGATTAATGAGGGATACTCTAGTTTAAAAGGTGGTTTTAGTCTGAAAAAATTGACAATCTGCTCATTTTCAAAATCCACTTTTTATCCTTTTTTGACCAAATCTGGAATAAAATCTATAACTATCTATCTAAATCTATAAGAAACCAGTTGTCATTGGAAATTTGAAGACAATAAGGATACTTGAAATATTGTTCCTCGAACTTGTCTATTTTTTTTTTGATTGAAGACATTAATACATAATCTTCAATCAAAATGACATGGCTCAAGAAAACCACCTTATAGACAATGGGAGTCCGAGGATCGAAATTTCGAATAAACCCATTACAAGTCATATGTTACAGACAAAAATTCGAGAAAACATTTTATAATTCATTGGCAAACATTTGTAATTTTTTACCCAAAATTAGTATTATCTTAAAAATGGTTACACTTTAGTGTGTTACCCCAGTTTTTATGTCTTACGTCAAAACTTTTTGGGTAGTTGATCGGTGCAGTTCTGTGTGGGACACTGAATTCTACATGGTGTTTAAGCTGTGTAATATTAATGGTAACATAGGATATTACACAGAGTGCAGAATTATTCTTTTAGGTTCTATCACACTCTGCTGCAGATTTGTGGTGGAGTGCTCGTTTGGTAGGTCAAGGCATGATTTCAGAAAGTTCTGATGGTATCCATCTGCCAAAGAAGACTCTCACACATATTACACAGATTCTACTCAACATGTACTGTAATGATTATATGAACTTCAATGATGGTACGTGTTGTAGCTCTGTTGAACAAAGGACGACTTTGCAGATTGTAACCTTCTCCATATTAGCTCTTTGGTAAGTTTGGGTGAAATAGATACTTTGACTACTTCGGCAGCTTTGCCGCACTAGACGGACAGTATGTTAAAAACACGCTCGGTAATTATTGTATATCTGTTCTACAAGTCGTGAATTTCCTTTTCTGAAACAGCTACACTTGAAGCGATGAAACAACACCAAAAAAGTAGAAAAAACCAAGTTGCTTAATCAAGGTTTATTTCATAAGACACTTCAAGTACTGTCCTGTAACATGATGATATAATTACTGTCGTCGTGTGATTCAGAAACATGTTTTTTTATCTCTTGCTCAATTTTCAATAATCAGGACCGTCTAGGTCTTCTACTCTAATCGCCTCGACGTTCCTGCCAACGCTCCTTATATGAGATGAACAAACCTGTGTACACTCGCGGAATATAAGCGACATCCTTGAAGAACCTCACTACAAACTAATATCATGTCGACAAGTCTGTTATTGCTATATAAATGTGCCATTTTTGATTTTTCACGCCGTGTGCAGGAAAGTCCCGAGTTTGTGAACACCCTGTTTGGTTGTGTTTTTAAAAACAAGGCCAGATTTATCCTTCTACTATGAGATCGTTCATTTTATATGACCATTCAAATGTTATACCCATTTTTTTTTTAGATTTTCCATGATGTTTTTAGTAACTTTCTAATAATAAAGTTTATATATATCTTCAAGCGTTGTGAAGCTATTTGAGTTTATAATAAAATTCGACTAACCGATAAAAATGGAACGCACAGCAAAAAATTATAATCATTTATACCAGCAAGAACATTTAGCATCAGTCTTTCATTTCAAATTGTTAAGTTACCTACCTAGTTGTGATAAATATTGAACAATCACATTTAATTCAAGAAAGGGTACAAATAAAAAAAACTGTATTACCAAAATGGGAGCAGTCAAAAATAATAACGATAAGTATGTGGCTAAGTTGGTAAGAAAATTTGAGGAAATTGGATCTGTGTTAAATATTCGCCGTAATCGCCATCGAGAAAATTGACCAATTATAAATGAAGCCGCAGATATCGCAGTTTTGAGATACGTAACACTTGACAACACCCAAAACACTCGTGGACACTTCTTCAGGATTTAAACGATCAAAAACAGTACAAAGAATTTTGAAAGACAATAAATTTCACCCGATAAAACTTGTCCAGGAGCCTAAAGAAGGCGATTTTGACACAAGGTTGGAGTTTTGCGAATTAATGTCCCAACGTTTAATCAACAATGCAAATCTGTTATTTAATATTTGTTTCTCGGATGAGTGTACGTTCTATTTACATGGTGCTGTAAATAGGCGTAGTTGTCGATATTGGAGTGACTCGAATCCACATTTGTTTCGAGAGGTACACTCCCAATATCCTGAAAAAATAATTGTGTGAACTGGTATTTTCGGAAATTATATTGTAGAACCTTTCTTTGTTCCTGGAAACTTGTCAGGCGAGACGTACTTGGACATGTTAGAGAATTCAATAGAGCCATGAATTACCGAAATGATAGAAAATGACGTTAATTATAATGAAAATTACATTCATTTCCAACAATATGGTGTACCGCCGCACTATGTGGCTCCAGTACGACAATTTTTGGACACCCATTTCCCGAACCAGTGGATCGGTAGACGAGGCCCCATCGAGTGGGCGCCGAGATCTCCGGACCTAAGCTCTTTAGATTATTTTCTTTGGGGGCATTTGAAAAGTAAAGTACGAAGCCAGATTCCATTCATCTCCGTCAGCGGATTACGGCTGAATGTAGGCAAATAACTCAAGACATGCTTGGAAATGTGAGGAAGGGATTCGAAGAAAATCTTTATTATTGCATGGAGGTAAATGGACACCACTTTCAGCACTTACCACCACATTGACCTACCTCTTTATAGCAAATTAATATTTACTTTAACTTTAATGTGCGGGTAAACTCTAATTAGTTTTTTGTTTTTTACTCGGATACTTGTTTTTAATTTTAAAGTCTGGTTACTATTGTAATTGATTATTATTTATTATCACAATTTATAGAATTTTATTATAAAAGTTACTAATAACTTCATGGAAAATCTAAGAATTAAAAACAATGCGGATTTCCATTTAAAAGTCTAAAGTGCAACGCAATATCTTATGTTTGGATCAAAATTGACGTGTCCCAGCGTTTTTCTCAAAATATACCAGGAGAATCGCAAATAGGGGTGCGGCCTTTTCATTGGGCCACCTTGTATATGCTGCCCCAGCTGTGTAATACTCGTAGCACATATTGCTTATGTATGGTTGTTGTTCTGTTGTATAACAAAAATGAATTATGATGGATAACACGACCCATTATTTGATAGAGTTCAGCAAAATAACCTTTGTTGTATTTGATACAAACTCCCAGTTTGCAAGTTATTCATACGGCGCGTGTGACAACACCTGCTGTTATTCCCACCAGTTGAGCTATATTGTCGGCTACAATTTAATTGTTGATAGAAAACCCAAATCTTAGGCAACCAGTGATTACCATGGTAACATCAGAATACCAAAAGGCAAAATAAATTGACTATGAATTCGTGGTTATCCCAGATGACTATTAAGCCGCAAATCGTTAAAGTGTCGTTCCACGTGGCGATAGTGACAGGTCGCAGCTTCGCGACCAAGCCTGAGACACAGTTGGGAGACTAGTCACAGTCACAATTTCATTATGCATTATTCAAGCTTAAGCTTGACAGACCACGTGCGTTGTACCTCTTATTGCTTTTTCGTGCATTTTAAAATTGGATTCAATTATTTCACAGTGACAGTGACAGATGTTCCATATATGCTCACGTATCGATTTTAGGCTGTGGGGTGACGCTCTGGTCTCGGAGAGCTGAGCGGGTTTGAATTCAATCCTAAGAGAACCTAAGATGTTGTAAGACCGTCTAACGTGGAGGAAATAGCCGGGATCTCTAAAAGTTGGATCCAGAATGTGTGCATGTCACATGAACATGTGTTTCTCCCGCTAGAGTCCGTTCTCCCACGGTAGCTACGTGCATTTAGGCCTTAAGCTTGTATGGTGACTCAATTACAAAAAAAAGGCTTGGTCGTAGTCGCTATCTGCTGCGAAACGGCACTTTTAGAAACGCTTTTTATTGGAGCAGGTAAAAGGAATAATTCATTTGTGTATTTTTAGCGTTATCATCGCATGTTTGATCATCGTCCGACGAGAAGTCTTGAAATGTAGAGGTCAACCAGTGCACGAGTACCAAAGGCTTCCAGAAAACGAAATTCAACCACAACTACCCGCTCCAAACAATTATTATGATTTCTTCAAAGCAATGGCCAAGCTAGCACTAATAGTAGCTTACTTTTTTGTGTGTGACCGGACAAGTTTTTTCATGAAGGAAAATAAATATTATTCGGAGTTCAGTTTCTGGTTACCCATTGGGTATTTGGCAGTGTTGGGAATATTTTTTACAGAAGACAGTAAGTACACTAAGGTACTTCACCGAGATCAATTGAACGAATGGAAAGGTTGGATGTTATTAGCGATATTAGTGTATCATGTAACAGGAGCTAGTAGAGTCTTGGTGATTAACATGCATATCAAAGTTTTGATATCTTCATATTTATTTTTGTTAGGGTATGAACAGTTTTGCTACGTGTGGTATAGAAATGATGTGAGCATCGTCAGTTTCTTCCGAGTACTGTTCAAGCTCAATTTTTTCACAGTAACTCTATGTCTGTGCATGAACAGACCATACCAGTTTTATTATTTCGGGCCTTTATTGTCTTTTTGGTACTTAATGATATACTGTTTTCTAGCTTTTCCACCACATATCACTGCTCAGACTTCTGACAGTAACGTGATGCAGTATTTTTATCTTCTCATTAAGTTCATCTGTTTTTTCAGTGTGATTACAATACTGTTTATGTCAGAGGTATTTTTCGAGAAAATTTTTGTTACTCGCCCTTGGAAGGCGTTGTTTGTAACCACAGACGATGACATCCATGAGTGGTGGTCTCGATGGAAGCTAGACAGATATTCTTCAATGTATGGTATGATGTTTGCTGTAATAATGGTTTTAGCACGACGATTCAACATATTCGATGACAACAATCATTCCAATCTCTTCTCAAGAGGTATAGCTTTAAGCTCAACTTTGACGGCATTGATAGGCATAGGTTCCTATATCACATTCTCATTTTTGTGTAGGAATGAATTAGATTGCAGTGAAATACATTCCTACATAGCTTTCATTCCTATTGTAAGCTACGTTTTGCTGCGTAACATTTCGGGTGTGCTGAGGACCAGATATTCTAGTATGTTTGCTTGGTTTGGAGAAATTTACACTGAGTTATTCATCAGTCAGTACCATATCTGGTTGGCTGCGGATACGAATGGTGTTTTAGTTTTGATACCAGGATACCCTGTTTTAAATGTGATAATAACGTCTTACATTTTTGTTTGCATCTCTCACGAGATTCATAATATAACCAAAGTATTACTTTTGTATGCTGTTCCAAATGATTTGAAATTAGTTTTAAGGAACTTTATTTTGTTTTTGGCAATTTTAGTGCCTATTGGCATCAATGACGGGATGTTTTAAGTACTCTATACTTTATATGTGTGATTTGTCTTTATATATTTGTGATATTTATTTTTACAAGTAATTTAATATAGTTTTGAAAGGTATGTAATGTTTTCTTTTAAACCTCAGTCAACAGCTACTGATATTGGGACAAGTCATTGTCGACTAACAAAACATTCTCTATACAGGGTGTTCATTTGAAAACTTCCCACCACGGATTTATCGAAAACCATTGATTAAAAGGAAAAACGCCGAGACATGTCAAAAGACTTGTCAAGGGGGAAAACTTTTTAACCAAAAACTACTTCACCCTCGTCCTCCCAGGGTCATTCCCTTAAAAATTTTAAATGACAAGGGGTATCGAGTAATAGCTTGTTTGAAAGGTATTTCGAAGTCCTTTATTTTGATGTTTGACTCTTTAAAATCAGTCGATTCGTTTTCGAGAAAATTAGAAGAATCTTTAATTAGCTTAATTTGTTAGAAAATAAAAACACATGAAAACATCACTTTTTATTCCCGTTAGGGTTTGTCAAATCTACAATTCGTTTATAATTTAAAACGGAAACTACCCACATAAACAGCAATTCGGAAGTTTAGACGTGGCAATAACCAAATAACAACCCGAATTTCCGCATTCTTTTCACCAATACAGATATCCTGAGCAAACTTTATTTACTGTTATACCTGCTTAGTTATTTGTTGTTAAGGGAAATAAAGAATTTAATTTGCTGTCAGTTCCCTTTGTGACAATCTTGGGATAGTCTAAAATTAATTTACTGATACAGATTTTACTTCCAAAATGGTTTACCCACTAGCCGAAAGAGTGGAAATGATTCTAATTTATGGTGCCCAAAATCAATGTGCTTGGCAAACTGCCGTCACGTTTAACGCCAGACATCTGATGAAGATAACGTCGCATAGGTATGTTTTTGACCTTGTTACTAAATTTACTTAAACTGGATCTATTGCAAATGAAAAACGTGATCATCGGAGAGTTTTGGATGAAGCCGCTCAAGTTGAAGTTTTGGGTCATTTTGGAATCAGTCCTAATACTTCATTACGCAAAATTGTTGGTGCGACTGGTATTCCATTAGGCTCTGTACAAACAGTTACTAAACTCCATAAACTTCATCCATTCAAAGTGAAAATATTGTGAGAGTTAACCGAAGAAGATTTCGATAGACGAGTAGAGTTTTGTGAACAAATGACTGCAGCAATTAATGATAATACCATTCATGTAAAGAATATCTGCTTCAGTGATGAATGCACATTTTATCTAAATGCATAACTGCATGTATTCTAGCAATAAAAATCCTCATCCTTTTGTAGAAGGACACACCCCAGCTATTCCAAAAAAAATAATGTATGGGCAGGCATTTTAGGAAACAAAGTGATGTGTGACATTTATTTGGATATGTTGGAAAATACTATCCATCCGCTTATCACTGAAACCGTTGAAAACCAAATCGAACAAGATGGAACCCCTATACTTGATGAGGCTGAAATATATTTTCCAGCAAGACGGCGCTCCTCCTCACTATGTTCTTCGTTCGGCAATGGCAACGACGAGTTTCCAGATAAATGGATAGAGCGAAGAGGGCCTATAGAATGGCCTGCTAGATCTCCTGATTTCACGCCATTAGACTTTTTTATGGGGCCACTTGAAATTGTGTTTACTCCCCAACCTGAAAGTTTGGAAGAACTTCGTCAACGCTTCATCGAAAGCTGCCATCATATCCCACAACATGTTTTTGAAAATGTCCGTCAAGAATTTGAACATCGCCTATATCATTGCCCAATAAAGGGCAATATTTTTAACACTTATTGAAAGAAAAACTGATATTTTCGTGTGTTTTTGTTTTCTATCTGAACAAATTAAGATAAATAAAGATTTTTCTAATTTTCTCGAAAACTGATTCTAAGAAATCAAACGTCAAAATAAACGACTTAGAAATATCTTTCAAACAAGCTATTACTCGATACCCCTTGTCATTTAAAATTTTGAAGGGAATGACCCTGGGAAGCCGAGGGTGAAATGGGGGGAAGTAGTTTTTGGTTAAAAAGTTGTACTCCTTGACAAATCTTTTGACATGTCTCGGCGTTTTTTCTGTTAATCAGTGGTTTTCGATAAAACCGTGGTGGGAAGTTTTAAAATGAACACCCTGTATGTATATATGACATATGATGTGACTCGTCTTTATGCAAAGAATCTGGGGAGACAAGCATTTGCTTTGTGAGATGCCCAGCTGTCCTGTTAATACGATAAGATAATCCATCCTGGGGAAACATTTGCTTTTTATGGCTAAAGTAGTTATGCCAAGATAGTGGAATAGCCTGCATTACTAGTTTACAACTAAAACACAGCGATGTATAAGCGAATTGACCCTTGGTTTGATATCTATTGAGAAAGTGATCATGCAGTAGTCCCAAACTAACAGATATTGTTGAGAAACTACTATATTTATACTCAGCTAAATTAAATACAGTTATTTTCAGAGTTTTTGGCAATTACGTCACAACAATGACAAACGAAATAAGTGAACAGATTGTTTCAACTCTATCACGTGCGGAATTTAACCTCCCTAGGGAAATTGCACACTGAATAAGTCGATTTTTAACGCGGCTGCTACTTGCTCTTGCACACACATGGTTTGTGTTACATGTTACAAAGCCGTTGATTTCATTTAATTTTTGAAAATAGTCCGAAAAATGAACAACTTGTGATACTGACAGAAACAAGCAAAAATATGGAAGACTCGTATGTTGGCGAGAACATCTTTGTGGCAGACAAATCTAAAAAAAACGCGATAGGGTCTAGAACTGTATTCTTATCGTTGCATATTCCCTACATTCATTTTCCTAAAATATGTACACTATTAGAAAATATTTGACTCGGTACGAATTTCAATTGTCGCATTTGCTAAAATATGAATCTAAAAACTAAGTTCCTACGAAAACTATTGCCAACTCCTCCATGAACTCATCCCCAACGCCCGAGTGCCGTCAATTCAAAAGGTTTTCTGCACTATGTGGGAAGTAATTTTCTGTCATAAGACCGTATGGATACGTTCATAGTGCTTATTGCGATGCTTTCTTCGCTACCTCGATCTGACCGCGATGTGAAACAAACACATGTTTTAAGTTGGGTGTGCATAGCGACGATGTATTCTGCGCCGCTACCTTCGCTTCCTCGCGGAAGAACGAATATTTTGTTTTTACCTTGCTGTCAGGAGGGAAACATCGCGGTGGGCTTAGCTGTGTTTAGTTTCTCAGCAAGAATTGGATTACTGTGCAAGTTGGTATACTTGCGGTCGAGCAGTAGAGGCTCAACTTTCTTTAGTATTTAACCAACTGTATCTGTCGACATTCTCGTGTAGGAGTGGAATCTTTCCTTGTCTCTCTTCAATTCGACGAACACATGGTGATACTCTCCAAGTTCCTGTCTCGCTTTGTTTACTGGATGTGTACTGTAATTTCGATTTGGTAGAGAACTAAACATCCACCACTTGGTTACTAGAGACAAATCACTCTCACTGTCACTATCGCTCGACAACATTCTGCCTTAATATTCGCTCGTGAAAAAATGAAACATTAGGAACCGCGTTCGAGGAGAGAAGAGAAAACATCGATGGTCAATTCAGTATGTACACCCTCCATCGATGTAGAAAGTCGCGAGGAAGCGCTCGTCGAGGTAGCGAAGAAAGCATCACAGTAAGCATCTTTCACTATGTATCTACCCTAAGACGGGTGCTATTGCCGCTCGACGTACACAAAGCTTCTGGTCTGGACTTGATTCCTGCCGTTGTACTGATGAAATGTGTAGCGGGCCGATCTCTGCCGGTGACCTGGAGAAAAAAAGACTAGCAAAGACTTCTTCTCTGACGAGACACCTGGAGGTTATCACTGCTTGGGGACGCAATCTGGTACAGTTCAACGCACAGTATTGTACATTGGCTTAATAAGAAGTGCCCGGTTTTGATGGATGGCCGAGTTCTACCAAATAGCCGACTAGGTTTTTCAGTTTTACTAACCTTAGGCAGTTAAAAATCAGATCAACAAAGTTGGGCCTCCTGCTCGAGTGCTTTAGTATAAAAAAACATAGTATCGATTGAACAATATACTTCGACTGCATATGGATGATACATATCCCCACCATGAATAAATGCCCCAACTAAAGTAAAGTTAAACAAAAAATGTTTAATCTTCCACGACAAGTAATGGACCATGAGTTTATCAAAAAAAAAAAAAATAACAATACGTTATTAGACGCCAACAGCTGTTTTGTGGGCGCCATGTTTTCAGTTTTTCCGTAAAATTGTTCTGCAGCTGCTTTACAGTATTTGGTTTGTAGGCATAAACCCTATTTTTCAAAAATCCTATAAAAAAAAGCTAGGAGCTGTTAAATCCGGTGACCTTGGTGACCAGTGTTGACATCACCAAATCGAGAAATTAAATGTCCCGGAGGAAATACTATTCGCAAAAGATTCATTGTTTCCCCAGCTGTGTGACAAGTTGCTCCATCCTGCTGGAACCACATTTTTTGCAGGTTAAATTGTTGGATTTGAGGAGTCAGAAAGTTTTGTACCATATCACGGTAGCACTCGCCAGTGACAGTAAGAGAATTACCTACAGCGTCTTAAAAGAAGTAAGGGCCAATGACACCTCACCAAACTGTGACTCGACGAGAATGTAGTGGTCGTTGATGGATGACATGAAGGTTTTCTAATGCCCAGGTATGACAATTCTGCTTATTGATAAATCCGTTCATGGATGGGGCTTCATCGCTCATTATTATCAGTTGTCGGTAAAAATCGCTATTTTGGGTATTAAGCTGCAATATTGGATGACTGTATTGTCGGCGACTTTCATGGTCACTACGCTGTAGTTCTTGGGTTAACTGAATTTTGTATGGCCGCAAATGCAATGCATAATGACGTGCGACGAATACCCAGTTCTTGAGAACGATTCCTGGTAGTCGTCTCAGGGCGCTCCACTACACTTTCAACGAACCCTCTCGATATTTTCCGGAGTAGAAACAGTTCGAACACGACCCGACCTTGACAAGTCTTCAACTTAACCTGTTCGTTCAAAGTGGGCACATTATTTCGATCGAAATCTTGTCTTAGCTTCCGAACAGTTGCAACAATCGACTCATTATTTAAGTAAAACGTTTCAACAATACGGACGTGTTGCGGGAGAGTGTAGCACTCCATATGAATTAGACACATGTGCTTTAAACAACTAATACGGCGCCACCTACTGAAATGCGTGTATCAAAAATTGCGCGCAATTTAAATCATCCAGTTATACAGGGTGACTTCGAAGTTGAGTCATTAATTTTCAGATAATGATTGTAGAAGGAAGATAAACCAAAATATGTGTGTAAAAATAAAAAAAAAATGTTACCTTGTTTTATAAAGTATCCTCCCGACAAGTATTCCAGTGCGGACCTGTATTTGATCGTGCGGTCTTGGAGCACCGGCATGCCCTCCCCTGTGAGGTCTTAAGTCACCTGATTCACGAGCTCTTTGTACTACATTAACAAAGGCACGAGGGGTTGGTTGCACTCGATTGGGAAACCGATTCGCATAAATCCGTAATGCCGCGGCAGCATTTTGTAAAGACTCCCCCCCGTAAATAAGAATCATGTCCACAAGTTCACCATTTTCGTAAACATGTGCCATTTTTTATTTCGTTTGAGCCACGCAACAAACACCACTATTCACTCACGCGTTACCGACTCACACATTGACTGACATCGTGATAAACGTTTCAAATTCTTTCGCTTTTTTGTTTCCGATGCGATGAACCGATAAGGCGGATTATATCCGTTGTTGCCAAACACGAGCACATAATATTATTATTGAGACAGGGCGGTACTCAAACTTCTAAAGGGCTATAACTTTGTTACTTTAATTTTACCAGAAAAATGTTAAAGGAAAAAAACATTTCTTTTGATCAGATCTACTCACTGTTAAAATAAATGACTCAACTTCGAAGTCACCCTGTATATTGGCCATCCTGTAAAAGAGGCTCAATGAACGTCTTTCCATCAGTGCATAAGACAGAAAGAACTCTTATGACACTCGCGGTACTAAGATATTTAAGCTTTGCTTTTGATGTTCGAGAATGAAATACATTTATTTTTTGTTACTAAAAAAATTAATTAAAACAGTATTCTGAGATATAAAATATCCATATATTACTATCACTCGACTGACGCACGCACTATTTGTTTTGTACATAAATGGCAAATATAAAACATTTACAATAATTCAATTTTTAAAAAGTTTTTCTTCACGAAAGTGTTAAACTTCTTTGGTCCAAAGATTTCTTTTAGGTCAGATATATTCTTTATAGGTCCTTTTACCGTCCTGCAAATATAAATATATATAATATAAATAATAAATAAAATTAAAATAGCTTACCTGAATGATAAAATTTGTTGAGCCGTTTTGGAACCCACATAGTGCAACCTTTCTAATTCTTTCTGTCCGCCCTCACTCAAGCTTTTAAAGACGACCTTTGTGTGAGCCGTATATGGACTATCATTCCTAAAAAATTGAACATATATGTAGGTATTCATACATAAATGTGCTGTTTTGTGGAAACGTTTTTTGATTTGACTTACTTGCTTTTTTTTACAAGCCTTTTACCAGCAGGCGTTGCTTTAACATTCAACACATTATTCTTGTTCGCATCTTTGCAGGTGTCGTTCTTTTTCTTCCCCTTTTGCAGAATTTCATTATCCTTTATTTTTAGTTTCAATGTACTTTCGAGAAAACTGGTACCACCAATCTTCAAATAACTGGACTCCAACGTTAGATCCTCCTCCTCCAGGCTTTCTTCCTCCCCTGTCTTTTTCAAGGCCAACCTAATACTTCTTCTGACAGGAGGTTGACAAACACTACTATCAGAAACACCTTTTCTGACATTTATTTGGGATGTCATCAAGTTGCCGTTAGCGAAAGCTATATCCCCATTTTTTGAAAGTCTCCTACGTTTGTCTTTCTGTGTTACGTCGCCAGGCTCGATGTCTCCATGAAGTCTTTTTATTGAGAGTCTTATACTGCGTCTTGGTTGGTCGGGTTCAATCGGAGATATTGATAAAGTATGTCTTACATTGACATTATTTCTCTTTCGGTCAATTAGTTTATCAGGAACTTTGAAACTATTTACAACTTGGTCTTTGGTATTATCTGAATCTGGAGTCTTATTTGCAGAGTTACCATAACTCTAAAACAAAAAGATCATTGGTTGGATATGAATCGTTTGGAATAACGTAAATAGTTTCTTCTTTATACAAGGTGATCCCAAAAACCATGGCAAGATTTCTAGAGCAACAGGTATATTCAAAAATAACAAAAAAAGTTCCGATAAACATAGGTCCCAAAAGTCCCTCGTCTGCAGGATTCAGGTATCAAGCTAATGTTCGCACCAAGATACAGCAATATCAATTATTTTATCGAACAAAAATGGCAGACTGAAGAAGGGGGCTATAAAACCGCCAGTTGTGAAATTACTCCCCTAAATAACTCCATACAATTTTGTCAAACTTTACTAACTTCAGTACACTTTCAAAGTATTAAGTATTCAAGTTTTTTGTACAATTAATATTTTACATATATCTAAACTGTAATGGATGTTTTAGAAAGGTCAAACGTGTAGAAAATATTTTTCTAGAGTTCTATAAATTTTTGTATAGATATTACTTCTGCATGTCCAAAATTTCAGGTTGATACCTTTATCTGCTCTACAGATACAATTTTTTCATGATTTTGAAGTTATAGCTTCAACAATCTGTATCCTAGTGAGGGGCATTTAGGACCCCTGTTCATTTGAACTTTCGTGTTCTTTTTTGACCTATGTATTTTCTGACCCATAAATATTGCCATTGCATTTTTAAATGAAAATTATACATTACTATGAAATTTGGGAGTTTGAAAGATAAATTTTGTAAGCAAGCATAAGAACTGAAGAAGAAGAATACTTACAAGCACTTTCTTGGCCCTGGACATGCGTTCCTCTATGGGACTGCTTGTAGCTTTTTTTCTGCTCAGGGTTACACTTGATATCTGTGCAATTTCTGTTTTAATTTTTCTTACTTCAGTTTGTAAGTCACTCCAGTTTGCACTAAATATAGAAATTTCAAATTAGATGCATGTCATGTGAAATACGTTTTTTTTTTCAAAACCGTCAACTGAAATGAACCAGAATTTGGGATGTAGGTTTATCTCAGTATTGTACACACTCAAAAGTCTTTACTTAAAATTAACGTGTACCAGTGGCGGAGATACAGGGGATTAGTGGCATTATTTTTCCAAATAAAAATAGTACACCACTGTTTTTTCCGAAACGCGCTATTTTTCGAATTTTACCTTCAATTTGCTAGACATAATTACTCTCTATCAAGGCCTACTATTTTATTTTGAAACTAATTGTATCTCGGCTCTTCATGAATGATCTAATTTGTTTTATTTTTATGAAAACAATGCACTCAAGAAAAAACACAAGAGTTTTGAAAACAAAGAAGTGCCAAATGGGATGATTACATAATGTGTAAAAGAATACTTATATAAAATTGACATTGTACCATTAATGCTAAATAAATCATCAACAAACAAAAAAAATGTATGCACTGGTTGGTAGAATTTAAAAATAAGGATCATACATCTCTTTCTAGCTATTTTCGAAAAACTTTTGATTGCACTATTCTTGAAACTAAAAACTCTTTTTGGTATATATTTCAGTCATTAATTTAGTCATTTTTTAGCTTATTATTTATTATTTCAAAACTCACCAGGGTGTACTCTTGGCAATTTCCTCCATTTTCTTCATCAAAGAATCCTCCATTTTCTTGATTAAAGAATCTTCCATCTTGCTCATATACTTCTGTATGACTGGGCTCAGAGTCTGCTGAACATCACTGGTACTGGAAATGGCCGAAATTCCCGACATGACACTGGTCCCAAAAGATTTGAGACTACTGCTTTGGTCTGAAGCAATACTACCACTTGACTGCTCTTTGTTGGATAACAATGGCATCAGTGCCATTCTAGAGTGCTTCGCAGGTGTCCGCATGGGAGTCTGAGGTCTTTTGAAGGGTGTACCAGCAGTCCTTGTATTTTGGAACAGTATAGGATTGTCTTTTTTGTACTGAGATACGACCTTGTTCACTTCAGGTCTGCTTTTGACTTTTTTTACGCGAGAGGCGAATTCCAGTGTTTGAATTGTTTCAGTTGTGTCGTCTTGATAGTTGCTGACACAAGCAATGAGTGAGACAAAGTTGTTTTTGTTCAGGGAATCTGGAAGCAAAAATATAAATATGACAAATTTATTGTTGATAAGTGTTTAAACAATGTTCAAGAGCTTGATCCGAGTTCAGCGCAGTTGATCAATTTGGGCTGTACTGGCATCTTTCCAATTCTAAGGTTACTGTGCATTGACAAATCCATAGTTTTAATCATCATTTGATACTGCTTTATGTATTTTGCATTAATGACATCAATTTACACTTACCTTGTAAAATGGATGTGATGATTGACTGGCGATATGGAACATAGCTAGAATTATCTGACAAAGCTGTCATGACTTGCCCTATGCATAAAAGGCCTTTGTTGATATTAACTCCCTCATCAAATGTACTGCCTTTGTTACCAGTTTTCCTGACACTCTCACATCCTGCTAGGTCGACCAGGTTTAACTTTGCACATGTTTCATGTCCACTGAAAGGATTTTCAATAGTTAATTACGCCTGTCTTGATGTGAGTTTTGGACTATGTTGATATTTCTGAAGTGCAAATTGAAAAGGAAAAGTACTACCTATGTTTCACCTTGCAGTATATAGAGAAAATAGCATGGGAGCGTGAACTTTGCGCATTTTGCTTAGTCCCTGCTATGTGTCGATTCTTGTTGCCCATATTTAAAAAGTGTGTGGCATCTCTAAAGTTAAATACCTTTTCTTTACGAAATCCCTCTGCTTTCATTCCTGAAATTATTAGTTATATAAGAAGTTATAAAATTCTTTTTCAGATGTTAATAGATAGAACATAAAGATAAGTTACCTTTAACTAAAAGTGGCTGGTTATTCTCATTTTGAAGTAGGTCATATACTTTCTCTTTGTATATTTCTATGAATGATAGCAATATTTCACTTTCCAAATTCTCATTTTGGTTGTATTCAAAAACTTCATTCAGTGTTCTAGGAATCAACCCCAACTGGTTCTGGTCTTTTACCTGGAGGAAAAAACTCGCTAAAATTTATCTACTATACAGATGAGTTACCACAATAATTATTTATCACCAAAATAAATTGTAACATAATAATGATGTTGTAATTTTGAAATCTTGTTTACACTCAGTTTCTGTATTCTGTATTCTTGTATTAATGTGCATGCTTATTAACAAATTGTGCTTATTATTCATTTTTGAATCTAAATCAATGGAATCTTGTAATTGAGATTATATCAATAGTTCTTCATATCATATCACATTCATGCCAGGATTATCAAACAGCTTTACTAGTATTCCTGTGCTATAAGGAATAAGGAAATCAAAGGCATCATAACCTTAAAATGTCAATACCCACCCAGCATCTCCTGACACCTACTTTAAAAAACAAATTGTTATAAAAATGACTGAAAATATATCTCAAATTCCTAACCCTTTGATAATGATATATCCTTCCCCTAAACTGAAACAATACCTCAGAATGTGTCAAGGAATATTTAGAATAAGGGGTGATAAATCAGACTCAAAAGGTGATATTCCATATCTTCTGGATGAAGATCCAGAAATTATTGAAAAATTGAAATGCAACAGTAAAAACAACTTCAGGGACTTAACAATGAAGTATACAGACCTAAATGATTTAAAGTGTCTTTCTCTACAAGACATCTGTGATCTATACAAATTTATTCTAAATGAAAATAATACAAAAGACAGAAAGGTTTATTTGCATGAACTTTTGGAGGGATCACATATTATCTTACCTCAAAATAAAATTGTTCCAAGAAATAAAGAATTACAGAAAAGATGCGAAGAGCTCAGGAATAAAGAGAACAATAGAAAATATCAAGAAATGACTAAGAATGTAGAAAATGCAAAGAGACTCTATCATGATGATAAAATAAAGTGGCAAATGGAACAAATGGACAAGAAATTGATAACAATTTTTCAATTTATAGTATCTTTAGTTGCAGGTTTTTTGTTTGGATTTACAGGCATAGAATTAATAACAGGCAGCTTAGACCTTGGTTTTAGATTAATACTAGGCATTATTTGTGCATCCACAGTTGCACTAGCAGAACTATACTTTCTTGCAAAAAAGCTGAATGATGACATTTAATTTGAAAGTATTGTATCACATTGATCAAAATAAACTCATTTCCAAAATGATACTGGTCTTATTTCAAATTATGGAAGTGGCTTCAGGATGGTTTTGTAACTTTCTTAACATAATTTGCCTATATCTTATGGGCATATGCTCAGAGACCTAGCTTGAAGGGGCCTCCAAAAAAACCAAATGAAGTCTTAAAAAGCATGTCCATCTCATTAAATGTAGCAACAAAGTAGGGCCCTGGATTTTGCTCTGCTCTGATGCCCTTTCAGCTGCAGGTACAAGTTATCTGTACCCAAGGGCCCTTATATGGCTAAAGATGGCTCTGGCTTAAATTTTACCTCCTTTTTTAATATAAAATTTTTAGTACCTGGGGATCAGTACCAATTGTGTAGGTTTTGCCTGTTCCTGTCTGTCCATAGGCAAATACTGTGCAATTATATCCTTCTTTGACATATTTTATCAAGGGTTTCACACATTCATTGTAAATTGTTTCTTGATTATCCTCTTCAGTAAAGATGTTGTCAAAGTCGTACGTTTTTAAGCGGTCTACCGCTAGAACAACCTGAAAATTTGAAGGTTGATGATTTAAATTCCCTCCTAGATTTGTTGATATTTCTGTACTTACAGGAGGCTCCTTGCTTATTATTTTCAAGCATGAAGTGTTGGCGTTTTCATCAAAAAGGTAGTTTTTGTGTATAGGTTTGATTCTTAAAGCTACATTTACAAAATCCATTGCTTTTATTCTAAATTTCGAAGAAAATACACAAATCCATGGGATGCACGGTGTACAAGACTACAAGATAAAGCTTGCGTGCTTATCCAAATGTTTGTTTTGAATTGTTAAACCTCTGACGGTTATGTTTAAAAATTGACAGACAACAGACAGTCAAATGATAAATCTGTCAAAGTTCAAGTTTTTGCACTGCCATCTGTTGATTCATAGTATAAGAATTGAACGTTCATGTAAAAAACCTGTAAGAACCCATGGATATCGAAAAAACGCAATAGTTACACTATTAAACAATAGATGTCTGTGTGATAGCAAAGTGACAGTTGTCATGTTGAGGCGTTAAGGTTATGTTTATGTTTGAGGAGCCACACTAAAAAAGAACACATTTTTGTTATTAATATTAAAATAATAACAAAGACTCAGCAATGGCAACTAAGCGTAAAGCGGAAACTCAGGTTCCAGCAGAAGAAAGTGACTTACTAACTATAAGGCCACTGTAAGTCAGAGTTCCTAGTAGATTTTGCACCATTCATGGTTTTTTGATCAAAAATATATTTATTTCACACAAGATGATACTTAACAATGCATTTCGAATTTTAGAGGTGCTGGGCAGGAAGTAGGAAGATCATGTATTATGTTAGAGTTCAAAGGGAAGAAGATCATGGTATGTTCATGAACCTATAACAACACTTGTAACTGGAGAAGCTAGACATTATAGCCTCTCTTAATGTTACCAGGACACACTATATTCGATCTAAGGCAGAGGGCTTAATGGTTTTATATTTGTAAGCTTAGATAAAGTAGTTGAGTGATGCTTCTAATGAGGGCTAGAGGATAGGGATCTGAGCCTTGTCAGAAAGGAATATTGTAAATGCCCTGATCATAAATTTGTAGCTTATTTGTATATAAAAGCTCTAGAGGTAGTTTAAATATTTATATATGGTATAATAATAAAACATCTTGTTTAAAATCCTGCTGCCAACAACTGTACATATCTGTTTTCTTAATGAAGCTTAATTTTTATGAATGATCCATGACATATTAATTTGATTGTAGTTGCAAAACAAATTACTAAGAGAATCAGTGTATTGAGTCTACTCTGATACAGTATTTTCCCAACATATTTCAGCTTGACTGTGGAATTCACCCTGGCCTTACAGGAATGGATGCACTACCATTTGTAGATTTGATAGAAGCCGATGAAATTGATCTGTTGTTGATTTCACAGTAAGTTTCAATTTCCTGTAGATAAATTTAATTATTAATGTATCATGCATTTTAGTTTCCATTTGGATCATTGTGGAGCACTGCCTTGGTTTTTGCAGAAAACAAGCTTTAAAGGGCGCTGCTTTATGACTCATGCAACAAAAGCTATTTATAGGTGGTTATTAGCTGATTATATCAAAGTTAGGTAAGTATTTTTTCAAGCATTAATATAACAAGTAAAAAATAAAATGGATCAAGTCAGTCAAACAGGCCTATACCATTAGTCCACATTGTCCTTGACCTACATTTATTCAGGCCAGCATGCCGACTGGTGAACCCAGAAATAAGAATCTGAGATGCATATAATAAAGATTTTTCTATCATTCTAAGTTTTAAGGGCAAATGTATGAGAAAATCGCTGATGTGTGAAATATGTTCGGGTTTGGGAGCATATAAATATTATTAACATCAAAAATTGAGATATACCCCTCCCTTGCGACCCCCAACCACCAATTCTCGACCTCTACAAAAAATTTTCCTAAAACGTTTGTACATGTTTACAAATGTTTAACATATCTCATCTTAAAATTTTTTCGTGGTTACAATAACTGCTTGTTTGTCAGTAAAATGGATGTAAAATATTATATTAGTCCTATTTTTGTATTACAACAATATTGATATACTGAAGAACCTAGCTTTTCTACACAAGGATTTAAGCTGATTTTGTTTGGTATTAGGTTTATTGATGACATATTCTGTTTCAAGATATAAAGAGTTTGTAGCACAGATGGTCCAATAAAAATTGTTTATTGTCAAAACTCAATTTAATTGCTTCATGGCTTTATAGCTTTTGTGCTTGGAATTTCTTTCTAGTAATATTGCAACAGAACAAATGCTATACACAGAAGCTGATCTGGAAGCTAGTATGGACAAAATTGAGACAATCAATTTCCATGAAGAGAAGGATATATTAGGTGTGAAATTTTGGGCATACAATGCTGGTCATGTTCTTGGAGCTGCAATGTTTATGATAGAAATTGCTGGAGTTAAGGTAAGGCTCACCACTTCAAGGGATAAACATTATGCTGGAAATAAAAGGCTGTCTCTTATTTCTAAATATGAAGTATATTTTACCATTACTTTTTCTGTGTTCCAGATTCTATACACAGGTGATTTTTCAAGGCAAGAAGATAGGCATTTGATGGCTGCTGAAATTCCCACAGTACATCCAGATGTTTTAATCACAGTAAGTACTCTAGATATAGCTTTAGCATCACATAAATCATTGTTTTTGCAGGAATCCACATATGGTACTCATATTCATGAAAAACGTGAAGACAGAGAAACTAGATTCACCAGTTTAGTACATGATATTGTCAATAGAGGTGGTCGATGTTTAATTCCTGTCTTTGCTCTGGGTAGAGCTCAAGAGCTTTTGTTAATATTAGGTATGTATTATTTAATGATTTTTTAGATAGCAGTAAAAAACTTTAAAAAATCCCCCTGTTCAACTTTTTTTTTAGATGAGTACTGGAGTCAACATCCTGAGCTTCATGATATTCCAATTTACTATGCTTCATCGTTGGCTAAGAAATGTATGGCTGTTTATCAAACCTACATCAATGCTATGAATGACAAAATCAAAAGGCAAATTGCCATCAATAACCCATTTGTTTTCAAACATATCTCCAATCTTAAGGTAAGTTTGTTTTTTTGCCTACTACTTCATACCACCTTTTTACCTGAGTAGTCTTTACCAAATGATTTTTTTTTACTTCATCAATTTTGTCCCCCAAATGGTCTGAAGTTAGGTATATTTGATCTATACAGGAATAATCATCTTGTAACAATAGAGGCTACATGTGCCCCCTAATGTGACATAATGCCGTCTCTTCCTTAAATACTGTGAGCAATATTGCTGTCCTTCCGTGTTTTCTATCAAAAACTCAAACACATGTCAGTGGCGTGCCGACACCAGAGGAAAACGGAGGTCTTCGTAAATTGCTCTTAAAGTGGCTAAGGATTATAATAAGGCATGTGTACTCTAGTGTTTATATAGTGACAGACAAGGAAACATATAATCAATTTATTACACATTTACTTATGAGGTCTGTGAATTGAGTGATGAGACTGGCAACGTAGCGTTCGATTTGGCAGCACTGGAAGCACTGAGCTTGGACGAGAGACAGACGAACATGTGATCCGCCGTGAGTACAATTTTGAACTCTCTCGAGTCATTTGGTTGTCCGAAGCGATTTTTTTTGTGGAACAGTTTTTTCTATTGTGTTCTAAAAATGAATGACATCAATTTTAAGGAACTGCAACGGCTATCAGGTTTTGCTTCAGACTTGGGCACAGTGCAACGGAAACTCATGCCAAACTTCAGAGATAAGAGCCCAGGTTTGTTGGTGGTTTAAGGCATTTTCAGAAGAGGGAGTCGATTGAAGATGAACCAAGAAGCGGAAGGCCTTCATCTTTAAGAACCGATGAAATATCGACAGAACCCGGGATTTTGTGCATCGGCGAAGAGTTAAATTTGACAAATACCACCGTTCATCAGATCAAGAACAACTCGTTATTTCATCACGATAGTTCTTCTTGTCACACAGCAATCTCACAATGTCAATAAACGGGTTTTTGGCCAGTAAAAACATTCGTGTGGCTCTTCAGCCTCTTTATTCGCCCGACATGAGTCGTTGTGACTTTTTTCTCTTCTCGAACTTGAAAAATCACCTCAAGGGAACTTATTTTGGGACAGTCGAAAACATTAAAACAGATGTACCGCGACCTGAAGACTATTCCATTATCAGAGTTCCAGAACTGCTATGAGGAGTGGCAGAACCGTCTTCAGCACTGTGTGGCTTCAGAAGGAAGATAATTTGAGGATGACAATATAAAACTGTAATTATATTTGAATAAAAAAAATTAAAATATTCTCATCACTTGATTTGCATATCTCGTATCTAACATTTAACTATCTAATATAAAGTTCTGGCTTTCTTCTAAGCATGTATAATATTTATGATACCTAATATGGATAAGATTGAGGGAACACTGAAAACAAACCTTTTGAACAAATGTTATTTTATTTCACATTGCCTTCCAATTTCAAATACATCAATTTCAGGTTTGACTTTATCATATAAATGTGGAAATGCTCCTTCAGAACCATATTTCTTCCTCACTACTTCATACAGTCTTAAATCAAACATCTGCTCAAACTCTTCCTTGGTCATGAAAATATCAGCATATAAAAATGAAAAGCCCTCAACGTCTCTTGTGAATTTTTCCATACTTCTCATTGCAGATACTGGATTGTATTTTTCCTTTCTCTTGACAAACCCGGGCACTCCATAAATACCTAAATCGTTGTACATGGCATGATTTGTACCTTCAACTAAATACTCCTTTTTGGGGGGCTTAAGCTGACCAGTATGTGCCCCTCGATCATAAACCCTGCATGGATAGACAAGCAATGGATATGCGTCGAATAACTCTTCAGATTTTTCAATTTGCGCTTCTAGTTTTCTGATTGGCAGTACTATGTCTTGGAACACTTGTTTCGTGAAAGTGAAATTTCGAACACCAGGCGTTGTGGTGAATTTTAGAAACGCTGGTTTTGGCGGTAGAAGCCATCCAAATAGAAGCCTGAATAACAGGTTGTTTCCGAATGGTATCATTGATTCTACCACCCAGAATATCGCACGATTATGTCTCAGAAGATAGTCTCTAAGTGGTATGAGTTCTGTGTATTTTCCTTTGAACAAAAATTCCTCTGTGTACTTATAAAACCAAGGCTTGTACCACCTGGCCACGTGGTTTACTGGTATTGACGCATCCATATCTGAGTAGTCTCCAACCATCACTACAGCCTCATTTTTGCTGAAAATTGTCGCTTCAACGTAATCGGCAGTAGGATATTCTCCATCGTCGCCCGATACCATTCTGATCATATCACAGTAGCCCTTCATACCCTTAACAGGTATATAGGTTAATTTTATGTAGGGTTTAACCCTGACGATTTTGATAGTTAAAGCGACAAGAAAAGCTAGGCTACCGTGAGACCAAGGTAAAGTAGCATATAGATCTTCGTTTTCTGTCGCTGAAGCTCTGACAAGGCTGCCGTCTGATAGCACGACCTCATAGGATACTATGGTTTCATGGTATAATCCGGCTTTGTGGGAGTGAGTTGTCATGCCTGTGCCCATTGCTAGACCTCCTATGTTGAATGAAAAAGTCGTTATTACTATAAAGTTATATTGTGTATCTAGTAAATCGAGAAATATTAAGAAAATATTTATTTTAAACTCCCATCGCTTATAAGGGTGATTTTTTAAGAGGTATAGGATTTGATTTTAAAAGAAAACACAAAAAATTTGGAAATACGATTAAATCTTTATTTGAGTCGATAGAACGGTCGATATAATTTAATGTTTAAAGATTATTTCATGTAACTGTTGGCCGCGGCTCCGCTTTAGATGGCCCATGCGCAAGGTCCAATTTTGGCACATTCTCTCCAACATATCGGCCGGTATCTCACGAATAAATGCTTCAATATTAGCTTCCAGTGCGTCAATCGTTGCTGGTTTATCCCTGTAGACATTAGCCTTAACATGGCCCCACAAGAAATAGTCCAACGGCGTTAAATCACACGATCTAGGCGGCCAATTGACGGGCCCCAAACGTGAGATAAACTGTTCACCGAACTCGCCTCTCAATAGGGCCATTGTTTCGTGTGCGGTGTGGCATGTGGCACCGTCTTGTTGAATCCACATGTCAGCCAAGTCCAGCTCTTCCATTTTGGGCAAAAAAAGTTTGTTATCATCGCACGGTAGCGCTCGCCATTCACAGTTACGTTCCGGCCATTGTCGTCTTTGAAGAAGTAAGGCCCGATGATGCCACCGGCCCATAATCCACACCAAACAGTGATTTTTTCGGGATGCATTGGTAGCTCTTGCAATGCTTCTGGCTGGTCTTCACTCCAGATGCCGCAATTTTGCTTGTTAACGTACCCATTCAACCAGAAACGAGCTTCGTCGCTGAACACAATTTTTCGATAAAAATGTGGATCTTCCTCCAACTTTGCCAGCGCCCATTCACCAAATTGGAAACGTTGTGGGATTTCGTGTAGCTTCAATTCTTGCACCAGCTGTATCTTATAAGGTTTTACACCCAAATCCTGTCGCAAAATTTTCCACGTAGTGGAGTAACAGAGGCCCAATTGCTGCGAACGGTAGCGAATCGACATTTCACGGTCATCACTAACACTGGCGGATACAGCCGCAATATTTTCTTCAGTCCTCACTCTACGTCTGCGTGTTGGTGGTTTAATGTCCAATAATGTAAACTGGGTTCGAAATTTAGTCACAAGCTTCCGAATAGCTCCCTCCGTAGGCCGACCAAATTGCCCATAAATTGGAAGCAGTGCTCGATGCACTCTCTTAACCGAGCATGAATTTTGATAGTAAAATTCAATAATTTGCAAGCGTTGTTCGTTCGTAAGTCGATTCATGGTTAAATTATAGACCAAACTGAACAAGTTTGACAATGACACAAGACACGATTCACGCGACATCTGTCAAAAACAGTGTTGCCAAAAAGATACTAGCAAAAAAATCACCCATTACATATATTTTTCATTGACTTGTTTTTTCTATTCATTTGTCCAGTTTCATTGTCTACGTTTTATCTACGGTATATTCAAATTAGAACAAATTGCATTATTTATAAGGGACTAAATTTAATCGCATTTTTATTTGGAAGAAATATGACAAATATTTTTAAGCAGATCTGAATGCTAGGGTCAGACCTAAGGTCAATTTTTTAACCGAGGCCGATGCCCCTCTTCATACACAACCTTTATTTAAAGCCGAATATTTAGTTTTATCAAATATGTTGGTTGCGTTATGAAAAATTGTGCTCTTGGTACTGTTTCTTTCAAGTAGTAACCCCAGTTTTGATGTGTTGTACTGAGATTAGAAAAACACTTGAGATAGTTTGATGAGTAGGAATAGAAATAATGGTAAACTTCCAATAATCTACATTGTGCTCTTGGAAACGACCAGAAATGAGAAGTCAGTTAAATCATAGCACCGTGTAACATTGCCATATATCACAGAGCGGAACCTATAAAATTTCATAATCCAAAGTATTTTCGGAAATAAGCAGACAAATTCTGAAATCGTCATTCCTTTCTGACCCATATGCGGTTCTGGTAATAAAAACATTGCAATGCTTATTGGCGTTGTTGAAGATTTATTATTTTATTAAATACCTAATTCCTTGAAACTTAAATTAATTATTATACAATATATTATATATATATATATATATATATATATATATGGGGGTGTTTCAAATTCGACCCTCATCATTGGGATCTCGGAAACTGTAAGAGCTTCGAAGTCGCTTAAATATGGGCAAAGTTGCGTATTTAGGTAATTAATAAATAGCTGCTTAAAAAGTTTGGTGAGCCAAAGAACTTCCGGAGAGAGACAATGAAACCGAATTTTCTCAAAATCGTTCTCAAGAAAAAAAGTTGATGCTGGAGGACAAGAGACGACGCCATATTGTAATTCAAATTATGCCATCTTGTAGAGAAGAAGAAGTGGCAATGCTAATTGCAATTTATTTTGAAATCTCACTACAAATAAGGATAGGGAAAAATTAGAACGGTTTTGGTAAATTTTTTTCCGTCTCTCTTTGGACGTACTTTGAAATTCAAAACATTCTAAGCGGCATTTTTATTTATCTAAATACGCAAGTTTGCCCCCATTTAAGAGACTTCGTATCTCTTACACTTTCCGAGATCCCAATGGTGAGGGTCGATTTTGAAACACCCGGTATATTATATTATACAATGAAGTCAATTTTTAAAGCAAACTGTCCATTTGAGTTATTTTATTTTTGCAATAAGCTGAATAGCGAAAGCTGGTTTTCAATGTCAAAGATATGCTTGTGCATGAATCTCTGACAAAATATGCACACTGGTAATAACTGCCTCCTAAAAGATATTCCAGGGTACCCAAGCGATTTGAACAGAGAATAATCGACTATATTCGTGTATGTTGGTATACCTTAGCAAATTCTCAACTGTTTTTGAATTCGTTGACCAACTTTATATGCATTTTTTACTCCCGCAGTTAGCGATATTTTCGCAAAACTTGTGAGCACTGCTTTTTCGAAACCGGCCTTTGGAGAAACCTTCCATTTATTGGACGGTCAACGACGTGGAAACTATTTTTCTATTGTCTTCTGTAAGAGGATAAATAGCCCAGTTTCTACGCTACTAGTGAAGTACACGACACTTTTTTCCTCTCCGAGCATATACAACTTTATTTAATTTTGTAACTAACTGTAACTTAAACACTTTATCAGTATTATTTATGACTTCCTTTCCGATCTAGAAGCGTTGCCGTTGTATTTGAATCTCCCTATATAACAACGGAAAGGTAAAATGCAAAATTCACTCATTGACATTCAATGCACTTACCTAACGTAGCATCAGCAATTTCCAACGTTAGAGCTAACGTATACCCTTTTGGGATGAGAAACTTGGTGATATCACCAACAGTCACCATAGGTTCTACCCTAACAGTGAGATTTTCCTCGTCAAGCTCCAATATATCAAATAAATCAATACGGATCTGGTGACATTGATCTTTCCTGAAAAAAGTTGTCGACAAACTCATCCAGTTCGGCCTTGAAGTGCACAGTAATTTTTTTTCATCTTTCGGCATTCGGTTCCATTTTTGAATCTGCTTTTGGATGTTGCTGACGCGTTGATCATGAAGTTTTGGACTGCTGAATATGGCTCGATGCAATTGCGTACGAAGCGATAAGATGAAGTTGAAAATGAAACTTGCAGGCAGGCAGAAAAGCAAAATTACTAGACCGCGGTTTTCTTCGAGAAATGTTATTAGAGTATCCTTCCACATACTGACAGGCTGAAATATGAAATCAATATCTGAAATAAAAAAAAACGTTTTAGTAAAAAAGTGGAGCTTTTGATCATGTGGCTGAGCTTCCGAAAGCTATATATGAAACTGATGATGTGTGTGATGGGTTTCGTTTTTTTTTTCATTAAAGCACTAGATTAAACTCGTTGCTCTGTTTGCGTGGAAGTAGTGTTAAGTAAACGTCACTCATTTAACACTTTAGTGAAGGAGATTGGTTTTGGAGAAGGGAACGCAATATTAGAAGTAATGCAATAGTTACTTTGGCAATGAACTTGTTTCATCTTACATTTTAATCCAATAATAAATTACGTTCAATGTTTTGCTTTCTTATACCTTTGTCGAAAAGTAATGAGTTTACTTGAGAATTTATCTGATCATAAAATGACCCTTAGATGAATCTTTTCAAACCTTACAATTTTGTTCAACAACATTTTCCTTTATGGCACGAATTTTTCGAGATATTTTGATCTATTCATACTTTTTGAACGACCTGTATATTTTCGCGAATAAAACCATGCCTATAACCTTCCTCGGCTTTTACTTAGTAAGTGTACAAATTTTGTCTCTTTCACGCCTTAGTGTGGTTCGGACCTGATGTTAACAGTCTGGACAGACATTTACATTTATAGATATAGATTATTGGACTGTTATATTGATATTTGAGACTGGCTATTCAAATTATATCAGAACTAACTATCTAGAGTACTAGATAGACAAGATACAGTTTCGGCCAAGTTTAAGCATTTGCTAGTTTTTGGAGTAGTTTACTTACTTGATAAAAATATATATCATTAGGTGTAGACTGTGGTCATTAACCTTAACTGTGAACTGTTTGTCTTGATTTATCTTTATGTAATAATCGTAACGCTACTTGGACTAAATAATTGAGGTATACTTTTTTTCTCGATGTTATATTATCACATGAATTTTGATTGAATTCATTTGGTTATCTGATATTTCTAACCAGATATGGATTTCTGTATGAGTATTTTGATAGGCAAATTATATTAAGATATTGGATTTGTCATAGTATTTACTTACCTTTAAATACATTATTTTACTAAACTAAATGACTAAGTACTAATATCGGAATCATTAATAATATTGACCAGATTTGTTTTTGTTTTCAAGGATGATATTATGTAACTAACTACATATATAGAGATGTGGCAAATGTTTATAGATTTGATCTTACATACTCATGAATTTTCCATCCCATCTCTGGACATTATATCCGTTTGTCAATAGCTGTATTCAAATCGCTCACATTTGACCTTGATTCAGTGTATAATAATCATGTTACGTATACGACTATTTCACGGCTTATAAAACAGTTTATTGGACGAACTATTATATTGTACTTGTTGGAGTACAGAGCCGGCATCAAAAGTTATCTTTAATTACCTATTATATCCTGTGCCACTTGTTGAGGAATATTTCGAGATGGGGATGTTTTCCGGACATGACATGAACATTTCGGAAAACTATGTCACTCATTTCTGTCTGTCTGTTTGTCTGCTCTGTAATGCTTCGCCTCTATAACACGAAACATTTTGAAAGGGCATACAAATTTTCATTTCGGACATGTTTCGTATTTCACATAACTTACTTGACTTCTTTTTAGCAATAGTAATTAACTGGCGAGAACGAAAATATCTACTGCGTTTAAATCTTCACTATTTATCAGAACGATTTCAAGATACTTGGATGAATTATATTCCCAGTTAAATAACATTTATTTATTAATTATACAAGTTAATCAAGTGTTTTGCGTTAGGGAATTGACCATTTCGAAGACGTGGGGCCTTGTGTGGTTATGGCATCACCTGGTATGTTGCAAAATGGTCTGTCCAGAGAACTCTTCGAATCATGGTGCACTGATGCCAAAAATGGTGTTATTATCGCTGGTAAGTTATTCAGGATCCTTTTTAAAGCATGAAATATGTTCCAATTTTCTAAATCGTTTAATGTTTTCAGGTTACTGTGTGGAAGGCACACCAGCAAAACAGATCCTTTCAGAACCGGAAGAGATTACGACCATGACAGGTCAAAAGCTGCCTCTGAAAATGTCCGTGGATTATATTTCGTTCTCGGCTCACACCGACTACCAACAGACTAGCGAGTTCATCCGCATTTTGAAACCGCCTCACGTTGTTCTGGTACATGGAGAACAAAACGAAATGTCCAGGCTGAAAGCGGCTTTGCAACGGGAGTACGAAGATGATCCAAACTCATCAATTGTGGTGAGTAACAACTTTGCAACCATTATAACGCAGAGTGACAAAATTAGCACGTTTTAGAAGTATCGAGTTGGATGCTTATATCGTAGTAATAGTAGGAAGGAGAAGCCTGGCAAGTAGTGCAAATAGACCACCTTTGGATCTTATTTCCGACCCTGAGTGTACCAACATTCTACTGTACGAGGTCTGCGCTGGAGACGCTTCTTCTTCTTAGCAAGAGTTTTCGAAAAAACTGTTTCAGAAAAGAAAGCGCTACAGACAACCAAATTACTCGAGCGAGTACAATCTTCTGAAGACGGATCACATGTTCGCCTGTCTCCCCTCCAAGCCCGGCGCTTCCAGTGTCGCCAGACGTCCCTGATTTTCTAATGAAGGTCAGGATGTCCGACTACTCTACTGAGTATGCAAACTATCAAACTCCATGGATCCAAATATCTCGGCCATTAGGCTGCAAGATACACGGCAAAAGTCTAGAAAGTGGATCGCTATTTCATCTTCCCAATACATGGAGCAGATAGAACCTCGTTTCTCCCTTAACAGGAACATGTGACTGTTCAGTCTAGAGTGGAAAGCAGGGCCATTTCTTTGGAACATACTAAACTCTGAGAGCAATAGTGCATTTCTGAAATGCCTTCAGAGCTACTTGACTGCCGGAGCATCTAAATATGCTCCGCTCGGTGCACTGCGGAAGCTGCTCTAAGTATTCCACCACTAAGGTGGCAAATATCTCTGCCTGGAAGATTGCTGTGCAGTTTCCAATCGCAAAGCTTTCTTATACGTCTTTGTCTGCCAGGTATAATCCCACCGTACTGGATCCTGCTTTTTTGGAAAAGGATCTGTATGTGAAACACCTGAGATGAAACCCATTCTTCCTTCGTAGAGAGAATTCTATATCTGGTCTTTTGGTGTTCTTGGCCCTCCCCACTCTTATCGAAGATTTGGGGAGATTGTTCTCCGTCATATCTCACAAAAATCGTGTTATGTTTTTGAGGCCGGTGAAGGCGAATATGATATGCATTTGTCAAAAATTAAAAAAGACAGATCCTATATGGCGGACATGTGTGCAAAAACATGTTTGTTTTGTTTATGCGGTGGCTGATACCGAATTCTGTCATCTTTCATCGGGATCATGAAGATCAACTTGGCAATGGCATTGGTATGCGGAGGTCATCCGATTTTTTCGCCTACCTCCGCACACCACAAGTATTATTTTTATTACTTCTAATGGAATTACTGCGAAACAATGGCGGACTTAGAGGGGACGAAGCCAACCTCCTTGATGCCCATGTCTGATTTTTTTTTCGAGAGGTATATATTGCCGTGCCTTGGTGTAAAAAATTACCTTGCTAGACTTGAATCTTTAGGTGAAAATCTTACTGAATATAAATGCTATGACCACCATTGCCAGTCCAAGACAGATTCTTAAATCCGCCATGGTAACATGGTTGTTGATAGAAATTGTATATGAACGTCCGGTTCGGGCATCATCTTGGAGAATACGTTAATTAGTGGTATCAGCTAGTTTCATCAGATTCGTTTGTTGATAGCTTCATATGCCTTTTTGATTACCTACTATTTCAACTATTTCAATACACATTTTGTTATATCGATTACTGCTTACAGGTTCATAATCCACGTAATACCCATTCTGTAGAACTGTACTTCAGAGGTGAGAAAACTGCTAAAGTGATGGGAAAGTTAGCCATAGACGTACCACAGCCAGGGAATACACTTACTGGAATACTCGTCAAACGGAATTTCAACTATCACGTTTTGGCACCAGATGATCTATCTAGTAAGGTTTTAGATTCATCTACGACTCTTACCTTTGCTTAATGCTTTTTTAAATTCAGTACTCGTTATTGTTTCCTCTCGCATTTGCTTCACCTATAAACTTGCTTTTCAGTGAGACGGGGGTTGTCAAAGTCATTTGAGCTCAAATATCTCACGCCATTCTTGCATATTTTTTCGATTATTTTTCAATACTTGAGGTCTATATAGTGTGGTTTTACATTTTTTTTCAGAATATACGGATCTGAGCATGAGCCAAATTATGCAAAGACAGAGTCTCCACTATTCGGGGAACAGTAGCGTTCTAAGGCATCTGATTTCGCAGGTGGCTGGCCTTTTAGAATCTATAGAAGGCGATAAGAAGATGAGAGCGTTCAATGCCGTAGATATTACTATAGAACCGAAAATAGTTATTTTGGAGGTATAATCATCCTACTTACTCAGTATCTATTCTTTTTTTTCGATCTTGAGCATTTGGTGGTTTTATAAATTCCTTTTTGAAATTTTATTTCTACGATAGTTAAAGTTTGGAGCAAGTCTTGTTAGAAAAAGTTTCTACTCGTATTATGAAGACAAGAAAAACATTTTGTTACAAAAATTCAACTGAGGTTTTAGTTACGAACATGAAAAAAATTTTTTGTAACCCATATCCGACGGTCTGTCTGTCTGTCCGCTAATCTTATATCCTCCTAAAACTGGAGAAGCACCTCCCTGACTTCTCTGAAACTTTTACAAAATGTTACTATTATGCCAAAGACGCAAAAGCTTTGTAGTTTTTGGAAATAGTTTCAGTGGCGGCAGAGAAAAAGGCAAAAAACGAAAAAGAATAAAAATCACTTAAACTTCGTTTCTTGACGTTTTGGAGGATGCATTTTTGAAAAAATGTTGAATACTTGGGGGTGGGGGATGTAGGAAGGTGAGAAGGGTTTATCTCAATTTTTTGACGTCAGTACATTTATACACTCCTAGCCTTGGTAATTCTACGCATATTTCTTCGAACATTAGCTCTTAAAACTTGTAAAAATAGTCTCAGCAGACAGATCGCTTACCTATTGGCCGCGGCTGTTGCTCCTGGCGGCCAGCCGCCGACCTTGGTGAGTGTTCTGTTGTTCTGGTATGGGATAACACGTATTACTGTCGCACCACAGCATAGTGTTTCCTATGCTCTGACCGCGCTGCCACATCTGAGCGAGTTGAGTATCGCGAGAGGCGGCGTTGCCAGATGCACTACCGGTAGGGAAGGGAAACAGTGTCAATGGACTGATTGTATGGATCTGTTTGACTAACTTTTTTCTCAGAGGGTTTAGTTTGTGAACATAAACCTTTATGAACTGATAACGCGCTGCGTGGGAAGTGCAGAGTCAACGTACTTGACGCCATTTTTTAAAACTCAATTTACCTATTTGCCATTTTTTTAGTGGGTTGCGAATCCTGTGAACGACATGTACGCAGACGCGATAGTAGCAGCTATCTTACAAGCAGATCTGCTGGAAAGTCCTATCAAGAATACGACCACCTCCGTGAAGATAGATAGGATGCATTTCAAAGAATGTCTAATCGAAATGCTTCAAGATATGTTCGGTGAAGATTCCGTTCCTAAGATTTTCAAAGGAGAGAAACTGTACGTGTCAGTTAATGATAAAAGGGCGGATATTGACTTGTCAAACTTGGTAAGTATGGTTATAATCTTGCTGATAATACTGTAAAAACATCTAATTTCTATACATTAAGTTTAAATAATGTCACAATTGGGTGTCTTTTTTAGGACGTGAAGTGTGCAGATGACGAAACGTTTCAACAGATTGTACAAACAGCTGTAACAAAACTATACCAATCTTTATCTCCTCCACAAGTAGATTAAGTGTGAACATTTGCTTATAACGGTATTTTTTATTAATAAATTATTACAAATAAATACAAAATGTATTTTATTACAAAAGCGCCTCAAACAAAAATGATCCAGGATTTTTTTTTGTTGTATGGGGGTATGAAAAAATAGGATCAAAGGCTTTATTTTATGTATTGTTGCAAAGAGGGTCGAACGTAGAAATATCAGGTAACCAAATAAGTTCGTGCAGTTGCTGTATATCGCACATGGCCATGGACGTTGTTGATCGACACCTATTGTCACTTTAGTATGAATCCTTCTTTTCTCACACACATAAAAAGTAGCTGAAAATTGTTACATACCTAGTTTTAATAATTGAAAATGGCGACGAGTAAAACAGTAATTCGAAGTTGTGTACTACATGAGTACAAAATTGGTACAAAAGCTGCTGCGGCAGCGCGAAAAACATATACCGCATTCGGAGATGATGCCGTTAATGATCGAATAGCACAGAAGTGGTTCAAAAAATTTTCTCCGAGAGATCTTAGTTTGAGCGATGAAGCGCGCTCAGGGAGATAAAAAATCATGAACAACGAGGATCTTCGACAGGTTGTGGACGCAAATTGCAGAACAACATGCCAATAACTTGCATAAATGTTCAGAGTCAGTCCTGAAACTATTCGTTTGCATCTTCATCAGCTAGGAAAGACGTGGATGTTAAGCAAATGGGTCGCACTGACAATTGATTAAGTCGTCTTACCATTTGTTCAGCAAACATTTCATGCAACGAATGAACCATTTCTTATTCTGTTATTAACCTGCGACGAAAAATGGATCTTGTATTCGAATTCTAAGCGTTCGTATCATTGGTTGTCGCCTACTGATTCGGTACCACACACGCACAAGGCTTCCTTGCACCCAAACAATGTTTTGTTGTATGTTTGGTGGACAGCAACTGGAATTGTCCATTCTGAGTTTTTGGAAAGGGGTCAAACCATCACTGCTAACTTCTATTGTGAGCAGCTTCAACGAGTACAAGCAGTACTCATCCAGAAACAGCCTTCTTTGATCAATCGGAAGAAAGTGATATTCTTGCTGGATAACGCCAAGCCTCATACCGCAAAAGTGACCCGAGAAAAAATTCTGAACTCGGCTGGGAAACGTTACCGCACCCGCCATATCCTTCCGACATTTCGCCCAGTGATTATCACCTTTTTTTTGTCTCTTGACAACTGTATGAGGCACCGACAGTTCACAACTCGAGATGGCGTAATAAATGCAGTCCGCCAAATCCAGGGAGTTCTACAATACCGGCATTCAAAAATTGGTTCCACGTTGGCAAAAGGTCATTGAATGTGATGGTAATTCGACGAATAAATAGTATCTTATTGTTTCTCATTAAAAAGGTATATTTTTCTACTAAAAACCTCATGAACTTATGTGGTTACCTGATCATCTTTATTGATCATGCTTCGGAAAAAAGTTGAAGAAGAAAATTGAAACTTGATACTTCGCAGCTCATTGCCGAGTATACAAAGCTTGAATATTTTTTATCTTGCAGTAACTCCGTTTTCAAGTTTTTTTCCTTGAATGCTGATCCATATTCTACACACATTGAGACATATCTTTGTTCACTTCTTCCCTTTCTGCTTTTGTTCTTGAGCTTGCTGTACCAGCATTGCTAGTTTGGGAATCTTACTTGGGTCCCAGAGCTGAAAAAAAAGAAATAAAAATTAGTTATTTGATATTCAAGTTGGATTTATGCATGATATGGGTTGCAGCTGGGAGCCAGACGCCAGATAAGTCGTTCTGAACATCATAAAATAACGATTGGAGTTTTGCCTATGACTTTAAATTCTAGCGGCAAATTTTTGTGATTATCTCTGTAATTGTCGTTTTGGACGATTTCGTCACGCTATGCGTGTAATTTTGTTGCACTTAAATGCGTGCAGAAAAGTGACACTTCTAGCGCGCTAGTAGAAAAAACAAAAAATTTGATAAAAAAATCAAGAGAGACGCGATCAATCCAGCTTGCTAATTACTAAGCACCATTTATTAGATTTTTGGTGTATAGTCAAACATTTCAGTACAGAAAACGTAAAAAAAAATAGATTTCGGCCGTGAGTTTTTCAACCGTCCGACTAGATTTGGCTACTCCTAGGTAACTTGTGAAAAAAAAATGTCATCAAAATAGTGCCTCAAATGTGAGATAAGATTTGGCGATATATTCATAAAAAATGAATTTAGGTCCACACTACCCACCACTTCACTATGTTCATTTAAATTTTAAGCACCTTGTATCCTTTATTTAAGACTTGCAAGTTTTGTGGTTTGTTGATTCAGTCCGTGGGATTTGACAAAGCCCAATCGTTTGCACCGCCATTACTATTGTTTCTACAAGAGAAGTGGCGGCGTCTGCAGCAATAATTCATAATGCCATAAAGCGATCAAGTTTTTTAATTCAGAAGGTGGACATTTAACCGATATTATTCATTCAATTTAATGCCACCAATTTAATTTAATTGAATAAACTGTTCGTGAATCGGATATCAGTACCTCTTATGGTATCTATGAACGACGAAATAAAGAACTTTGAAGATAAAACCTACTTCTTCCGCTGCAGCAGCTGAACTATCATCATCCTTCCTTTTCACTAACACACTGTAGAAATCAAAATCTGTGAACAGCAGTATCCTCAGCAAACCCAACACCAGTTGGGCCAGCCATAGTGCTACTTGGATTTTGTATGTGATGTAGCACATTTGGTAACTTCTGTAGAATTCTCTTTTTCCTGCTTTTTGTTGCTTGGTGAGGTAGTCAACGTACACACTGCAACTGTAATAATAATCCAGTCAAAATCACAAATGAAATGCATCTATCTATAACGCAAGAAAATTCAGATAGGTAGCGATAGAGGTTATTACAAGATGCTCTTCATGATAACTTTTGGGTGTAGTATAGCGCTACTATAATATAAGGGGTGTTTCAAATTAGACACTCACCATTGGGATCTCGGAAACTGTCAGATATACTCGCTTGAATGGCGGCAAAGTTATGTATGTAGGTAATTATTAACAAAAGACCGCCTAGAAAGTTTTGGAATCCAAAGTACTTACTTTCGGAGAGAGACGGAAAAAACTGAATTTTCCCAAAATCGTTTTAATTTTTCCCTGACTTTATTTGTAGTGGGATTGTGAAATAAATTTCATATTAACATTGGCACTTTTTCTCTTCTACAAGATGGCAAAATTAGAATTTCAGTATGATGTTACGTCTCTTATCATATTGGCTATTTAGATATATAAATAGAGTTATTAATTTTGATTCAAAAAATGTATAATACGTCATACATTGACATTGCCAAACCTTAGTTACTTAAAAAACAGAATTTTCTGGATAGGCCTTGAAATTATCAGATCGTCATTTGTTTCTTATACCAGATTTATCCCAGAATTACTTTTATTTTTTCCTGACTTTATTTGAGATATGGGATTTCAAAATAAATTGGATGTTGTCATTGTTACTTATTCTACACCAGAAGATAGTCAATTTTTCAATTCGACATTTCTTCTTTCGCCTTCCTTCACCAACTTTGTTTTTTCATATAGACGCTATATAGGAATTTTGTGCATTTAAATGGACTTTTCAGACTTAAATTCAGTGATGTATTGTTTAATTGGCCATGAATTTGTTGTTCTTCGGAAGTTCTGCTTTTTTGAAATAATTAAGGTTTGGCAATGTCAATGTATGACGTATTATACATTTTTGGAATCATAATTAAAAACTCTATTTAATCCTATCCAAACCAAACATTTTCACATTTTTTTTTCTGAGCTTAGTATCTCTATACGTTTCTAACCCCGGCAATTCTATGCACATATTAGCCTTATTTCATACGTCATAGATTTCCCTGTGTATTTGTCTTCAAATGACAGAGAAATGTTTTGACCGGCTGACTAATTCATCGTTACTGCAGCGCAAAAAACTCGGACCACGCACGAAATGAACGATACCTTAGTGGCAACAGCGATGCGCAGATGTGGAAAGGGACAACGTTCCCAGATGGACTGTAACTACCCATAGGGCAGGGAAAGAATGTCCATGGACTAATTGTTTGGGCCCCCTTGACTGATTTAATCCGTTTAATATCCCTGCTGTATGTTTCGTAACTGACTTTTTTCTCAGTGGATTAAATTGCGTAGAACTTTTAATCCTGTATGATCTGACGAAGAACAGATTCAGCCTACTTGGCTTCCAATTATTATTTTTGCCTGTTTTTTTCTAGTTTGCATTTGTAAAGAATACTAAGTTTGTTTTGCATTTTTCTGGTCACTTAACGCAGTCGAAAAAGTTTTTGGGGGTCTCATATTTTACTTATTATAAATAGTGCTGAATATATTTATATGAATGCGTGAGAAGTAGGTACTGGGTCAATTGATTTGATTTCATTTTTCTTACCTCCTAGTCCCAGTATATTCTGAGAGTCTCCCGCAAAAATCTCTGAGGCCATTATTAACTACAGTATTGGCATTCAGGCTGAGTATAAACATTACTCCAGAACCTATTATTATAGGGTACACGACTATCCAAGCTCCGGGAATTCTGTAAATAAGATTTTGAGCAGTTAAAATATAGAACAAAATGTAGACATAGAGGCACGGAGAATGTTTGCTACAAATACGTGAAGCTTATCATTCCCAATCCTTGAGCCGGAGTCTGACTTTGCAGAATGAAGTTGTTAGAATAAGGAGTCACGCGATGCCAGAACGCGTATTCTCATTCTTTTCTTTACGCCGGAGCAGCCGCACAGACAGAAGCCTAAATGCCAGGACACCGCGGCTGCTATGAGGATCCCAAATAAATTTTATTAATCCGATTTTTGAACTGCCTAAGGGCAGGAGAACTGGGCCTGCTCTTGTAGTTGTAGATTGTTCCACGATCTCGGGACAAAAAAATGGTCGTATCGGCTAGTTCTGGATGTACGAAGTTCGACGCGGCCGAAGTCAGGCGGGTCTGTCTGGTAGGCACATCGCGCGGTGGTAAAATGGAGAGGCCTTAGGAGCAAAGCTCATTGGTATAGCGGTAGAAGAGAGCTAGATCGCCAACGGCCTGCCTTGTTAAGGGTACTGAGACTGCCTGTTAGAGAAGGGTCATCGATCAGTCTGGGCAGCATCGATTATAAATAGAAGGCCAGGCGGCAGCACCACAAAGTTGTAAGCAATTCTCGAGGCTAGGTCATGCGGAAAAAACCCTGGCTTAGGCACTTTCACTGTATGACGGATGTATTCCTCAATCTCAACGTGAATAATTTTGGTTATCGATAAACAGACAGTCGACGCATCCGTGGTTTGGGTCACAAATTGAACCAATCACAATGCGTCCTTGAAGTACTGGATCTAATAAATATGGTCGATTCTTTGTAAAATGTCTCTCAAACTAGATAATAATTACGGTTTGTTTAAGATGGGCCACTAATTCCCATATTAAATCAATAAATCAGTGGGTTTAGCTACAAAAACCTATTTCTCAATTTGCACCTGGACACTGAATTAGCTGCCATGGTCATAAAATGTACCAATGAAAAAGAAGTATTTGCGCCGTACTCGAAGCTTGCACACAAATCTGATACAATATCTAGATTGATATGACAGCAATTAAATGAGCATTTTATTGAAAGTAAAATTGTTTCACTGTTTGTGTATAAAATTCTGCTTGTTAAATAGTTTGAAGATATACATAAAATTACAGAAAGCTTATTCTTTAACAAATACCGAGAAAATATTCAATTTACTTGACTATTACCCGTTTTACAATGACAATAAATCTATGGCCAAATTTCAAAAGTGTAAATTAGGAATTTGACGTAAAATAAGTCCATGAAGTTCTTCGTGGATTTCTACACGAAATTAGAACTTGAATCCAAAGAACGCAGCTTTCTGCTAATTCAACCTAAGCTGTAACTCCCACAGGTATTGTCCCCAAACATAGGATCTTTATCTTGGATATCCTGTAAATATTTCAGAACACACTTCTTATAAAACACTTACGTGTCGGAAGAATATCCTCTACCCCCTCTACCGCACACCATCACGACTCCAGCAAACACTGATGATACAACCATGCTCAACATAGGGATGAAGATCACATAGTCGCACATTAGCACTGTAGAAAAAACGCTTTTGTACACGACGATGATTATCTTTCCCCACATATAGTCTGTTACTACCCTAAAAGGACATCATAATATATGAGGTGTGTAAATAAAGTAATCAGACTGGCAACGTAGTGCTCGATCTGGCAACACTGCAGGCGCCGGACAGGTACACATTGACAGACAAATCAGTCAAAAATATGCAATTTCGCCAACAATGTTTGGCTCATTCTACGAGGTCTGTAAATTAAGTGATGAGACTGGCAGCGTAGCGTTCGATCTGGCGACGCTGGAGGGGAGACAGGAGAACATGTGATCCACCTTCAGTACAATGTTGAATTCGCTCGAGTCATTTGGTTGTCCGTGGCGATTTTATTTTGTGAAACAATTTTTCCTATTGTTGAGTGACATCAATTTTGAGCAACGGCGTGCTATCAAGTTTTGCTCCACACTGGAAACTCTTCCTACACTTCAGCAGGCCTACAGAGATAAAGTTTTGTCAAGGGCCCAGGTTTTTCGGCGATTTAAGGCACAAGGGAGAGAGTCGATTGAAGATGAACCACGAAGCGGAAGGTCTTCATCTTCAGGAACCGATGAAAATATCGAGAGAATCCGGGATCTTGTGCGTTCAGATCGTAGGGGAAGAGTTAATTCGACTCACACCACCGTTCATCAGATCAAGAACAAGTGGGTATTGCATCACGATAATACTCCTTGTCGCACAGCAGTGTGAATAAACGAGTTTTTGGCCAGTACAAACATTCATGTGGCTCCTCAGCCTCCTCATGCGCCTGACTCATTTTGGGACAGTCGAAAATATTCAAACGGCTGTAATCGACCACCTGAAGGCTATTCCAGTATCGGAGTTCCAGCGCTGGTATGAGGAGTGGAATAACCGTCTCCAGTGCTGGGTGGTTTCAGAAGGAAGTTATAGTGAGGGTGACAATATAAAATTGTAATTATATTTGTATAAAAAAAATCTCATCACTTAATTTACAGACCTCGTATATGTAAATTTTCTTCTGAGGAAAAGGAAAAAGATACATATTCAAAAATATATAATATGTAGCGAACAATAGATATTGCAATTCGTCAAAACGGGATCCTACATTCCCGCGAGATCCCCCTCTGTTTGTTGACGGGGATTCGCTCATCCCGCAGAAAAATTGTCACTTAGGCCCGTATCGTCAGTCGTCCCTACAATTGGAGGGCGCGTTTATGGCCTCCTTGATTGTCATACTCCTTTCTCGCCTTCAAAAATTTCTAGATTACACTTGTCTCGTGTCAGCGTCAGCGCTCTCCTATTGTGAAGATATGTTTTCTTTTTAAATTGTAGGAAATTTCAGGCTGATAAAACATGATATAACTCAAAAGCAAGCACAATTTGATGCAAATAGATGTTTGTGACATAACCTCAAAATAGAGCGTTGACACGGAGAAGTATAAAACTATGACAATCAAGGAGGCCATAAACGCGCCCTACAATTGTAGGGCGCGCTTATGACCTTCTTGATTGTTATACTTCTTTCTCTCCTTCAAAAATTTCTAGATTACACTTGTCCCGTGTCAGCGTCAGCGCTCTCCTGTTGTGAAGATATGTTTTCTTTTTAAATTGTAGGAAATTTCATTCTGATAAAACATGATATAACTCAAAAGCAAGCACAATTTGATGCAAATAGATGTTTGTTACAACCTCAAAATAGAGCGCTGACACGGAGAAGTAGAAAACTATGAGAATCAAGGAGGCCATAAAGGGCGCCCTACAATTGTAGGGACGACTGACGATACGGGCCTTTAACCTTTCAAGTAAGAGTAGGGATTCATCAAGTCAAGCAGCTCGATTTTTTCATAAGTATTTGACTTGAAAATAAAATTACTTGAAACGTTAATGCTCGACTTGACTTGATTTTTCTGTTGTTCTAGTTGACTTGAGGCCAATACTAATACCATTAATTATACTCCAAAAGTGTAGGTTGGCTCTTGTTGGTGACTTCGCATGTTGTTTTGTTCCTATTTTTTGTTATATATATATATAGAGAGAGAGAGAGAGCGCGGGGGAGAAAAGGATCATGCGGAGAAAGGTATATAACAAAAAAATACAAAAATAATGGGCAAAATCCGCAAAAAGAAGGAAAATGTATTCGAGCAGAAAGTATGATAGGTAACCCAAGCAATACGTATTTCTGCTTCATGGCTTCATCAGCCCCAAAATGAATGCACATATGCACCTATAAAAGTAAAAACACATCCGGATACGGGTGTAACATGAGGAAACGAAGATGGAGAGGGAAAAAAATCACACACGAAGTCCACAACAAGAACCAACCTACACATTGTACTATAAAATGGCTAGAAGACCTTCAAGGCGACATCTAACCACAACGACGCGGCCGGTTGAAAATTCGAGGTCTTCTAGCCATTTTATACTACAATGTGTAGGTTGGCTCTTGTTGTGGAGTTCGTGAGTAATTTTTTCCCTCTCCATTTCCGTTTCCTCAGGTTACACCAGTATCCAGATGTTTGGGCATGTGTATCCACTTTTGTAGTTGCATATGTGCATTCATTTCGGGCCTGATGAAGCCAACCAGCAGAAATACGTATCGCTCGGGTTACCTATCCTATTTTCTGATCGAATCCAGTTTCCTTCTTTTTGCGGATTTTGTCCATTATATAATTATGTCAACCCATATCGCCTACGTCACAAACTCCATTTTCAATTTGTCTACTCTATGTTTGACAGTTTTAGGTATCTTGTAGGATTTTCAAACACACATACGAGCACCGTTTAGCCCCAAAATACGGCATTGTTGCAAAACCTGTTCTTAACCCCCACTTTACCCCTTAGAGATGAATTTTCCGAAATTTCTTTTTAGGTGCAAATTAATATCAAAGAACGTTTTATTTTCGCAACTCGGTTCAGCCGTTTTGTATTGAAAACGGAATATACTTAGATATATACAAACATACATACTTTCACGTTTATAATAGAGTGCAGTAAATGCACGATGCAGTCAGATTTTCGAATTCTTAATCTAATTTACGTACCAAATTTCATCATCATAAACGTACAAATTGTCGGTGTTTGGAATCGCTATGGAGGAGTTTAGGTCAGGTTTTAGAGACACATTAGCTGGAGCTGCATCTGGGACTTCGTCTACCCTCTCGTAAGGGTCTATCTGAAATCGAAAATGTAAAGATTTGTAAAGTGTTGACAAAAGTGAGCCGACTCAGCCGACCCTCTTACCCAGAAACTAGGTATACATTACTGCAACTTTTTGATGCACTGAATGCGACTCGTGGTCCAAATTTCTAGTTTCCAAAATATCCTAACATATAGGAGCAAAAATAGCCTATATTTGAAGTTAGACATTTTATGGACTTTGTATTGAAGATTTACGGGTTCTTCAGTTGGCAACCACAACCTTGTTTCAAATATCAAAAAATAGCAGCTACGCGCTCTCCGCAGTGCTTGATTCTGGTGATAGATGGCGCAATGCGCTGTCTTATTCTGGATCAAATATAGTGAAATTCAGAAAAATGAAAATTTCGAAGTGCCAAATCCCATCGAAAAAAGATGTTTAAGCAAACTCAACGACATTTAAAAGAACAAGGCTTGCGTTTAGATATGTCTACGGTTTTCTGTAAAAGAAAATGATTCACGATGCTACCTAACTTCAAATACAGGCAAAACTCGCTATGTTTGCACTTTCAGGCTGAAACATCTCAGAAACTAGAAGCAATTAACAGATTTGGATCATGTATTCGGATTCAAAAATTGAACCAAAATCACCAAAAAAAAAGTTTTTCGGAATTATTTTTTTAAGTACATAAAAAAATCTCTCGATATATGTCTTTTTCCGCAACCTTTTCTATCTATCGGAAACAAATCGATTAGACTCGTATTTGATCGAAATACATGTATGTATGAGTACATATGTAATACATTGGAGAAATCTGATAAACTACCCCTAAAGCAGAAAACCACAAGCAGGCTAATCTTGATCTACACAGGTAAGATGGTTTCTACCCTATATTTGGGGAAGTTATGCGTATATCCAATATTTCGTATACTCAATGTGTTCGGTTGATGTTATTTATTCTAGAATTATTTATTATTTATAGTTTTCAGAATTTCTAAGCAGAGTTGGTTAAAGACGATATGGGGTGATTAGTGTACTTTAGGGATGGCGAACTAAATTTCCTCGCTCTTTTAGGGTTCCCAATAAAAATGTTTGTCTACCAACATCATATACACTACATTTTACTGGGTTGCGTTTGTTCCCAGGAATTGCAGATAAATGCCTATTTTGAGCATTTGCCTTTATTCCACTTGGTTGTCTCATACTACAAACTGGTACCAAAACGGAAAAGGCATATCATGCACCACTGAATGAATGAATAAACGAATAAATGAAATTAGAGAAATACCGACACCACGACGAGCATAGGCTGCATGACGGGCCTCTATTCACCACTACATTGCATAAGACTCACGTCCCTTTAGCGAAGTTGAGTATAGTTGTCAACTCCTTTACACTTCGGAGATCCAAAGTGTTGGACCCCAGTATAGTATGCCATTAGTAACTCAGAGCCCCGCAGCGACACAGAACATGCGCCGAAGAGTCATCCACCCCGTAACGCTCACACATGGGATCTTAACTACCGACATCACATGCACGTGGCGTGGCGCCTCATCCTGTTATGGCCAGAAAACAGTTCCACCAACAATTCAACATCCAACATCCTTAGCACTAGGCCCTAACATGAGCTCCAGTACCTGGATATATCTGGAGATGCTTCTTCATTTCACAGTGTTGTCTAGATATCCACTTTTTTTTTATATTCCAACTACTACGAAGGCCTAAGGCCTAAGCACCCATTGGGTACCGTGGGGCTATAGGGGGATACACGGACTCTGGCGAGGGAACACGTGTGCATGCATCATGCACACATTCTGGTTCCGCCTACGAGATCCGCCGGGTGGTACCTCCGCGTTCGACAGTCAGAGATCGTCTACCACCTACGGACAATCACAACATCCATAGCCAAAAGAAAAATTTCTCCTGGGACGGGACTCGAACCTGAACAGCGCACGGTGACTGATCAGGAGACCGAAGAATCTACTACTGCGGCCATCGCTGCTGCCTACTTCTCCGTTTTCCTTTCTACTCGTTGTGCGGGCACCTCTAGGGGATCTGGTTCAACAAGCGTGCCCGTTACCCCTTATCCCAGCGTGCCTCAGTACCCACACTAACGATACTAGATGTCCACATTGAGCTTGTGGTTAAAGAGATCTTAAGGGTTGCAGTTTGACTAAGATGACCGTGTGACCTTTGACAGGATTCATGAAGGCCGAGCTGCCATGACTCAATAGTTAATGCGCGAGCACTTTTTTTTTTTTATATCGAAACAGCCGCGCAGGCAGAAGCCTAAATGCCGGAACACCGCGGCTGCTATGATGATCCCAAAGAAATTTTGTTAATACGATTTTTGAACTGCCTAAGGTTAGTAGAACTGGGAAAAGCTTCCTCCCGTAGATTGTTCCACAATCTAGACACCCTCGGGACAAAGGAGCGGTCGTATCGGCCAGTTCTGGATGTACGAAGTTTGACACGGTTAGGATGGGATGCCGAAGTCAGGTGGGTCTGTCTGGCAGGCGCATCGCGCGGCGGCATCATGGAAGAGAGCTCTGAGGAGCAAAGCCCGTTGGTGTAGCGATAGAAAAGAGCTAGATCGCCGACGACCCGCCGGTGCGAAAGAGTCCCGAGACTGTCTGTTAGAGAAGAGTCATCGATCAGTCGGACCGCCCTCCTCTGGACAGCATCGAGCATGGACAATGTAGTCGGGGCGGCAGCACCCCAAATGTGTGAGCAATACTCGAGGCTAGGCCTTATCTGGGCCTTGTATAGAGTGAGAAGGTCATGCGGAGAAAAGTACTTCTTAGCCCTAAACAAATAGCCTAGCTTTTTCGCAGCAGCTGCAGCTATTGAAGAGATGTGTTCGTGCCAGATCAGGTCCTCGGTGATCTGGACTCCGACCAGCCGAAATGAATGGCTCTTTGGTAGAACTCGACCGTCCATCGAAACTGTATGAGCGCTAGGACGCTTTTTGTTCGTCAAAGTACAGTACTGTGTTTTGGAAGCATTGAACTGTACAAGATTGTTGCGTCCCCAAGCAGTGATAGCCTCCAGGTCTCTTGTCAGAGAAGAAGTCGTCGCTAGTCTTCTTTTTTCCAGCTCAGCGGCAGAGATCGGATTGTCACTCTGAATTCCTGCATGTAGAGTGCTGTCATCAGCGAAGCTGTGGATTGGGTTGATCGTGCAGGAAAGGAGGTCGTTGATATGTAAGAGAAACAGTGTTGGAGCCAAGACCGATCCCTGGGGAACACCCGCGTTGACGTTGTGGGATGAAGAGGAGAATCCGTCAATTACGACGGATATCTTGCGGCCAGAGATAAAGTCAGCCACCCATCTGCAAAGCTTTTCTGGGAGGCCGTAGGATGGAAGTTTGCTTAAGAGGGCAGCGTGCCACAGCTGATCGAACGCTTTCGTGATGTCAAGAGCAACGACATGAGCCTCACCATGAGACTGGATGAGTTTACTCCACAGTTGCGTGACGTAAGCTAGGAGATCCCCTGTGGATCGCTGGTGCCGGAAACCGTACTGCCTGTCGCTAATCAAGCTGTGACGTTCGAGGTAGTCCAGAAGCTCGCGATTTATGCACCTCTCCATCACCTTACTTATAACAGAAAGCAGAGCTATAGGCCTGTAGTTGTAAGGGTCGGTTTTAGATCCTTTTTTTGGGATGGGCTGTACATGAGCAAATTTCCAGTTTTCTGGGAAGGTGCCGGATTCATAAGATATCTGAAAGAGACGCGAAAGAACTGGAGTAAGCTCCGCTGCACATCTCTTCAGTACAATGGCAGGAATCAAGTCCGGACCAGAAGCTTTGTTGATGTCAAGCGACAAGAGCACTCGTCTTACGGTCTTATGCCTGAATGTTACTTCCCGCATAGTGTGGGGAACCCTTTGAATTGACGGCACTTGGGCGTTGGTGGGGACGTCCATGGTGGAGTTGGCAGCAAAGATCTTGGCTAGCACTTCCGCCTTGGCCTTTGAGTCGAATACAATAGTTCCATCCTGACACGTAAGTGGTGGAAGGCTACTGTGTGAGAAGTTCTTTTCAATCTGCTTGGCCAGCGTCCAGAAAGACCGACTGCCATTGCGCTGCGACATTACCCTGTGCCTAACTTTTATATCATGCTGGTTTTTGGCATTGCGAACCGCTTCGTTATATTTGTTTCTGGACTCGACGTCGGCTTGTCTGTTCTCTACAGTGGGGTTTTGTAAGTAGGTTCTGTGGGCCTTGATCTTCTGCTGGCGAGCAGTGTCACACGATTTGTTGAACCAGCCGTTGGACCCTGGTTTAGGAACTTTCACTGTGTGAGGGATGTATTCCTCCATTCCGACGTGGATAATTTCGGTTATTGAAGAACAGACAGTCGACGCATCTGCGTCAGTGAAACAGACATCTCTCCAAGGAAAGCTGGAGAAGAAGTCTCTGAGCCCCTCCCAGTCGGCATGTCCGTAATGCTAAGTTTTGCGGCCTGTGCGAGTTTCTGCTGCCACAGCGGCTTCTGACCGAAACCTAACCTCCACAACACCGTGATCTGAATTACCCAGGGGGGACAGGACAGCAGTGCTGTAAGGGGCAGGATGCGTGGTCAGAAAGAGATCTAGCAGGCTCCTGGCGTGTGACGAGACGCGGGGGAAAAAAGTAGGGCTCGTCACCAGCTGGGTCAGCCCTTGAGTAAGAGCGAACGCTTCGACTGCACGACCTGCTGCATCGGTCTTATTTGAGCCCAACCAAAGCTCATTATGGGCATTGAAATCACCGAGAAGAACTACCTCTGACGCGGGGTGATTGATGTTCAGGAAGTCGATCTGGACGGCGAGGTATTCGAGTAGGTCATCCCAGTTATGGTTCGAGGGAGAGCGATAAAGGCAGCAAATAAATTTGGGTGATGTTTTGGAGTTGAGGCGAAGCCACAGAATGTCCTTCCGGTCTGATTCCAAAGAAAGATCCCTGGAGCAGGAAAGACTGCTGCGGACAAAAGCCACAACTCCCCCGTTCTTTCTCAGATTGGAGTGCACCTCGTAGTTTGGGAAGTTGAGATGGTTAATCGGTGCAGTCTCTGAGATTTTTGTCTCCGCCAAGAAAAGCACGGCGGGACGATTGGATTGCAGGTAGTGATGAACAGCATCAATGTTGCTGTTGATCCCGCAGATGTTCGAAAAACAAATTTTATCTTCGATGTTGTTCCCTCGAGCCCACCCTCCACCCGGACATTCCGAGAGTGGAGTGAGTTTACGTCCGGAGTTTTTAGTGCTCGAGGGATCCATCATCATTAATTTCTTTGTTTTGGTAGATAACCGACTGCATAGCTTAGGTGTGGAAACATGCGGACATTTATAAGACACCCTGGGAAAAGCTAGCGGGTGGTACTGCCTCGGTCGACTGGTCCTTGTCTACCACCTTCTTTTTACGTGTTAGTGATGTTAAATAGACCTAAAGTGGCCCGTTGGCGGACTTGTACCGCCACCCGGCAATCGGTACTGAGGTATTCCTTAACGCGTGCACAATCACTTGGACGGGAAGAAGTTGTATACTGGATACAACAACTTCCGGAACAAGCATTTGCCACGGCCCTCGCTCAGTAGGGGTTAAATCGCTCTCGCCTCTCAGCGGTAGTGTTGTTAGCACTGTGCTTGTGATTCTGATACAAGTCAAACGCTGAATCTTGTTGAGTTTACCCTTAGTTGTCTCGATTCAAATGCAAGGCCACCAAACCAAGGAGCCATACAAAAGAGATGACGGTACTATTATCGTGTAGAGCCAGTGCACCATCAACCTATCAACTATCCTTTTCAATGTCTTGAGCACAAAAGATGAAAGGTTAATTGAATGAAAGTCTTTCCATTATAAACTCTGCCCGACACGGGTATTATGTTAGGAACCTGAAAAATGTCAAAAAAAAAACCGACGAAATGTCATCTTACAGATTATGTAGTTTTTAGTGTGCAAATAGTTCATTCCACGTATGCTGTTCGCTGACGTTTAAGCAACACGTACAGTTTCGAAACGAGTCCACAATAAGTGTACAGCAGCTTGTGTCAAGTTAATATCTTGTAGAAAAATCTACGCTATGTCACAAAAAGCCTACGAAATGTCAAAAGAAACGGACGAAATGTCACTTGATGATGTAACATGGCCGGAGATACGCCCTCCAACTAGTGTGCAAGATGACATTTACGCGATAGCCCTGCCGAACTTTTGTATGGAGCAAAGGAATCATCGCTCATACCAGTCATAATCTAGAAGGAAGGAAGGTTCGGATCAAAATTAACAATGTGTTGTCAACAACCGGTGCTCCTCAGGATTCAGTCTTAGCACCAATCCTTTATTCACTTTATATACATGACGTCCTTTGTCCCAGCAACGGTGAAGTCTATCTCTATGCTGACGACACTGCAATGCCAGCCCAGTCTTGTTCTGGTAACCTGGTTCACGACAGGCTGCAGAGTGCGGTGGAGGAAGTATTGGAGTGGGCGGATCGGTGGTTGATCAAAATGAATACTTTGAAAACGCAGGCAATCTATTGTACTAAAAAACGTCGCGGTGCCCCCTCAGAGATATCAGTGAATGGAATTCGTATACCATGGGAGCAATCTGTCAGGTATCTTGGAGTCATCATTGACAAGTGGTTGACCTGGCAGAAACATACTGATATTTTGAAAACAAAATTCCAAATTACCTTTCGGCAGCTTTATCCTTTGTTGTGCAGAAATTCAAAATTAAGTTTGATCAACAAGATTCGGTTGTATAAAATGGTCATAAGACCCGCAATCACCTATGCATGCGCTGCGTGGTGTTTTCTTGCCAAGACGCACATGCAGAGACTGCAAGTCCTGCAAAACAGAACCCTACGCACAATAACTAACGCCCCTTGGTACGTATCAAATGACACTATTCACAGAGATATTGATATAAAATATCTAAGAGATTACGTAAAACAACAGGCGCAGCGGCGTTATAATCAAGCGGAATCGCACAGCAACCCTCTGTTGCGTGACTCAGTAGACTACACAGTCGAGCAAGTTCGTAAACATTCCAGGCCACGCCTTGCACTGTGATCAAAATTAAATTGTAAATTCAGACCAGCCAAAATTATTTCAGTATACAAAACCGATCAAAATTATTTTTTGGAGTTACAAAATAATTCGTGCACTAGTCAAAGTAATAATGCTTAAGCTATTTCAAATGATTTACTTCTTTTCTTTGCTCTATTTGTTCCTTCCTTTCTTTCTTTTTTCTCCTTAAACATGTTTGGTATCTGGGTAGCCAGACCTGACATACTAACAGACCGACGAGACTTTTAACTAAGAGCAAAGGTCCACCGGACCGCTCTGACGAATAATGACGAATAGTAGTACCAGTCATAAGTAACGATTTCTCCTGTCATGCGGTAGTCATCCCATGAGAGTATGCGCAACTGCATGCACTCTGTGATCGACGGCGCTTCTTGGGATCCGGGAAAGTGCGTATCTGTTAGAAGCCTCATATTGCCTTCCCCGGCGGTGTTACTTCAACCCAGGAGATCGGACAGAAACCCCTACCTAGCTTTGGTATCTTTGCACAGGATGTACTCTTGATGTAGTATTATGTTAATGGACTGAAAGGATCCTCTAGGGTTCTCTGATAGCCCTTCCGATCTCCTTTTTATATTCCTGCAGCGCCCTCTTATACCCCTCTCATTGTACAGAGCCTCTCCTGTGCCTAACTCTACTAAGAAGTTTATGGACCGCTCTTTTCCTGTCCTCTAGTTCGTTAGACCAGAAAGTTGCTTCAGCCTTACCTTGAACTTTGAGTATCGAGAAGTTATCCTCATACGCAGCCCTAAGGTTCTTACACAGGGAATCAACAGCTTCTTCTACATCAGAGTCCTACGAAAGCTGTGATTAATCACACCAAGCCTACACCCACGCCCAATTAGTATGCCTAGGATTCCGCACGACTTCATCTTTGCGCACCTACTTTACCCATAAAAAGGCACGCACGTTAGCAGTGACGTACGCTGTGTTATGGTATTTTCTTCAGTTTTGATATTCGAGTATGTATATCAACGAGAACGTTTTAGTTTCTTCTTTTAAAAAATATCTAAGTCTAAATAATTAATTACTCATGTTAACACTTACTTCAGTAGTATTTGTAGCATTTGTCGTAGTGACAGACACCTCAGTAGTATCACTTTCTTCGAGAGCCAAAATAAGTGCTTGCGGTGTGACTGTTGTAGCTGGTGTTGTAGAATGGTCTGCGATCGTATTGGTTGCGGTGGTATCTGTTGCATTTGGACTTGCTGTGGTTGCCCTTTTGACGTCTGTCCTCATGTAGTTGTCGTAGGTGAAGTATGGTTTGCCATAGAGTATGCAGTTGTAGTTGAATATGTCGAAGATGTCTATGAAACCATAAACGCAGATGCAAGAGTTCACTGCTATCAGGCAGAAGATGGTCGCGTGCAAGACTAAAAAAATGGCCACAAGTTGGTTGACTCTGTATTTCCCATGCAATGCTGTCATCAGGTAATAATGGATTATATTCGGCACAAGTTAGCCCCTTAGATAAAAAATGGCATCAATTTACTTGATGACTGTACTTCCTACACCATCGTTGGAGGTTCATTAATCGTTTCAAAAGGCAAAATCGAATCGTTCACTTAGGTACAATCAATCTTCGACCCTGCATATCAAATTACGTAAAGCAAATCATATTTCTGTTACCATGGCAGGTGTAGGGAAAATATGTGAGACTTATTACTTAAAACAAAATTTTAGTGGAGGCGCAAGCAGGCTTTCGAAAAAAATATTCCACAGAAACGGCTTTCCAGTTGGTAACTGAGAATTGGAGAAGAGCCATAGACTCAGAAGAAGTTGTCATAGCAGTATTTTTGGATTTGAAGAGGGCATTTGAAACGATTGATAGAGATATTTTGTTAGGTAAATTGAAGGCATATGGTATAACGGAAGTGTTTTAGATTGGCTTAGAAATTATTTGTCTAAAAGGATGCAAGTTACAAAAGTTAATGACACTATTTCATAAAAAAATTGAAAATACGTTGGGTGTTCCACCGGGCAGTATCCTGGGACCACTTCTTTTTATTTTATATATAAATGATTTACCTGCCATAGTCAAAAAATGCAAAATTCAGATTTTCGCCGATGACACTATGATTTATATAAGTACTAAAAATATTCAGTCTGGCATCTCTTATATAAATGAAGACTTGAAGCTTGTCTCAAAATGGTTAGCATCTAACAGACTAAAATTAAATGCAAGTAAAACAAACAAGCCTTGTTAATCGGAAAAAAACAATGTACAAATGTTCAACTGAATATTGATGGTGAAGATATTGAATTTGTAGAAAATTTTAAATACCTGGGGGTTTTTGTTAACTCTCGATTAATTTTTGATATTCATTATGAAAAAGTTATAAATAAGATTAGTAGTAAAGTGGGATATTTATCGAGAGTTTCTGGATGTCTGAGTTCATATAGCAGAAAAATTATCTATAATACCATCATTCTTCCAAATTTCTTGTACTGTTCGACTATTCTATATTTAGCAAATAATTCCATTTTTGAAAGACTGTAAATTTTACAAAATAAGTGCATGAGAATAATACTAAATAAAGATAAATATACTCCAATTAGGCAAATGCTTAGCAAATTAAAATGGCTCAATGTAAAAAATTTTATCAAATATCTTGTAATGATATTCATTTATAAAGTAAAAAATAATATATTTCCATCAAGTCTAACTAATTTAACATCATCAAATGTCGACCATCATTTACATAATACCAGAAATAAAGATGACTTCCATTTAATGACCAAAAAGTATAACATATGCTACAAATCTCTATTCCATCAAGGGTTGATTGAATATAATAAATTATACTCGGAGATAAAAGACCAGAAAACTTTGACAAAATTTAAAGTAGAATTAAGAAATCATTTGTTAAATCTACAATTATAGGTTGCCCAGCATTTACATCATACACCATATGGCTTGAATTTACTAGTTATAAGTTGTTTACAATTATTCTATTTATGTAGCCAAATGTGCTAAATAAATCTTTCTACTACTACTACTACTATTATGTGTAACAGGATCACTGAGATTAGCAGATTCGACGGAAATATGTTTACATCATTCTAACTGTTAAGAGTAAATGTATGATGAGTGAAATGTTTCTAATTGGTACGTAGAGTTACCGCGATTGGAGGCGAATAAACATATCCCCTCCCCCACCTTCTACAACTCCTAACCACCAATGTCTAACCCCTATAGGATGGTTCTCATTTAAAGCTCCTTACGTGTTCTTTATAACCCCAGGATAAATAGAAAAAAATATAATACGAATGAAGAAATTATAGTTCCCAGTAGCCCAATAACACCGAGTCAAACTGGTAGTAATAATCTCGATGCTATAAAAAATACTTTCCTGAAACAGCTGTTAGATGAAAAAGATAAACTAATATAGTTACCTTAAAACTTGCAGAAAAAGACTGTTTAATATAAACATTAGAGAAACTAGTAACACAACTTGAAACAGAAGGAAAAAACTTATGAAAATAAAAGCTGCTCCCAAATCCCGAAGCAAAATATTCCTGATCCGAATCATAAGATGCAAACTAGAAGCATTACCGTTACACCTGAATCAACACAAAACTGTAAGGACACAAGAAAAGACCTTTGTAAGAATATTGATTTATCGTGTTGAAAGGTTGAAAAGATTGAAAATCCTAGAAATGGAAGAGTTGAAATAAATGTGATGGAAGACTATTACGAGAAATTGAAAAACCGAATTGGAAACAAAATTGAAGAAACATGCATTATTTCTGGACCAAAACTAGTGAAACCTAGAATTAAAATAACTGAATATAGAAGCGACGAAAAGCCTACTGAAAAAGCAGTTAAACAAGGAATGATACAACAAAATCACTTCACTGTCAAAAATGATATTCTAATTACGTATACAGGGTGGCGCATCGAAAACGAAACAGACGCATTTACTGGCAGCTCAGTTTTTTTTTTGGAAAACGCTCAGACCCGTCGTTTTGTTTTCGAGGGGGACACAAGTTTGGCAAAAAATTACGTTAACACGCCCTGGGTGGGGGAGACACCAACCCTAAAATCTTAAATGGAAAGGTCTTTCAATTCCTTTATAATGATGTAAAATACATGAGCTTCAGTTCAGTAGTTTAGGATTTATTGATTTAAAGTTTAAAGTAGACTTTAATAGGTACATCAGATTAGTTTGTATTACTTTCAGAAGAAATTTGAATAAAAGAATTTACTTAATAAGTAAATGCTTTTCTTCACTACGCCCATGGTTTGTTTATCATTTTGTTGTTGAAAATAGCTATTGGAGCGTTTTTTTGTGGCAAAAAAGTTATTTCTTGAAGAAAGATCAGGAAATATCTCATACTTATTTTAAATAGGAATTTAGTACATAGTTTGCGATTGATCTGACCAAACTTTGTTGCTAAAATAACTGGTAACGCTTTATTACATAAATTAACCACAGCAGAAAGAGTTGAAATTATCGAAATATTTTTCGGAAATAATCAGTGCGCTAATAGAACAGCAGAAATATTTAATGAGCGTTCATACACATCAGCCACAAAAATTAAATGTTTGGGCTGGTATTTTTGGCGATCATTTAGTAGGTCCTTTTTTCTTATCTGGAAATTTGACCGGCGAAATGTATTTAGAATTACTGGAAGTCGCCATAGATCCTGCATAGCCATAATTGAAAATCAGAATGATCGGTACGTTGCGAATAGGTTGATGTTCCAACAGGATGGTGCCCCACCACATTACGCATTACGTGTTCGACAATATTTAGATTAGACGCTTCCAGTTCGATGGATTAGTAGAAGAGGTGCCAATGAATCGCCCCCAAGATCGCCAGATTTATCACCTTTTTCTTTATGTGGGGTCATTTAAAAAGCAAAATCTATTCTACTCAGCCAACATCATTAGAAGACCTGCGACAAAGAATTGTGAATGAGTGCCTTCAAATTACTCCTCAAATATTGCAAAATGTGCGGCAACGTTTTGATCAAAATCTTTATTATAGCATGGAGAGTCATGGTAGCCATTTTCAACATTTACTTGCCTAACGGGCCAGTTCATTCTTTATTTATAATTACTTTGCTGCCAAATGTACTGATCACTAATGATGATTTATTAGTTTTATTTAAGCTTTAAATCAATAAATCTTTAAAACTACTGAACTGAAGTACATTAATTTTATATCATTATAACGGAATTGAAAGACCTTTAAAATAAGGTATCACTCGACCCCCCTTTCCATTTAAGGTTTTGGGGGTGGTGTCACCCCCACTTAGGGGCCTGCGCGTGCTAACTTGATTTTTTGACAAACTTGTATCCCCCTCGAAAACAAAATCGACGGGTCTGAGCGTTTTAAAAAAAAACTGAGCTGCCAGTAAATGCGTCTGTTTCGTTTTCGATGCGCCACCCTGTATAAAGCATATGCAGTGTTTTGGAATATCATGCTTCAGATGGAAGTAATTTCAGTATCTTTCACCGAAACATAATGAATCCAAATAAGAATTTTTATGGGTTAAATGTATACTTGGGTTTTTTTAAGGAAAAATTTGACATTATTCTGACTGAGACTAGGATTATTATAATTTTTTTCAAACTAGATGTATATGATGCATTTTACAACGCAGCCTTCAACCAAAATGATTCAGTCGTAGTCTATATAAAAGAAAGCTTGCAGTCTAAATCAGAAGTAATATATTTCACTGAACGTACGAGAATAATGACAGGCTAAATATACTTGGAATTTTTATCACAATAATATCAACATACAGACCACCTTCGAGCTATGCAAAACAGTTTATTATTGATCATTTAAACTATTTGAGTGATTGCACTCTAAATACAGATTATCGTGTATTAAATGGTGATCTCAATATAAATATCTTAGATGACAACTTGTTTGTACATGAGTATCTAAATATGTTTTTTGAAATCAATTGTATTTTACTTCTAAATGTTCCAACTAGAGTCCTTAGATAATACCTGCGTGGACCACATTTTTTTAAAAAGTAGATTAGAAAAAAATTATAAATGCCTTCATAGTAAAATCAACTAGAACCAATCATTATGGTACGATACCAACAGTACCCCTTAATCGAGAAAGCTTTGTTGATAATAAAGTAAACAAAAATAATAATATGTACAAAGAATATGCAGGGTGATTCACAAGTTGTGACTAAAAATGAAACATCATACACACGACCGAATTTTAAGGGGGGTCTTCTATGTAACATTTTTTCCTCCAGGGCTTCATTAGAAAGTTGAAATTTAAAAATAAAAAAACATTTTTTTTAATATCTTCAAAACCGTCAACGGGAGTGAACTAAAATTTGGTATGTGGATTTACCTAAGTATTGTCCACTTTCAAAAGTCTTTATTTCAAATTAACGTGCACCAGTGGCGGAGATACATGGGATTCTTTTCGGAACGCGTAATTTTTAGAATTATACCTTCAATTTCCAACAAATAATTATTGTATTTTTTTCTTGTAGTGCACAGTTTTCGTAAAAGTAAAAATAAAACAAATTAGGTCATTCATGAAGAGCCGAGATACAATTAATTTGAAAATAAAATAGGAGGCCTTGATACCAACTTGACGTTCCTTGGGAGATAGTTTGATAAATTTATGTGCTATACGGTTATTATCGTTACATTATTCAAAAAAATTGAATTATTAGCAGCCAAACGAACTTAACGAAATAAAGACGGAAATTATAAGACTGGGTTTGTACTGAGAAGCGAATGACTATACACAATTACACAGGGTGTTACTTAATGATATGCGAATATTTAAGGGTGTTAATCTACATGAAAAATTAATGTTAGTTTGCTTTATAAACTATGGTCCAAAAATGTTTCTTTACAAAAACTCCGGGTGTTGAAGTTTAAGGAAAAAATGGAAGTTAATTAATGTTTTCAGAACAGCTTCAGATATTCGACTAATATTTTCTACGTAGTGGAAGTTAATAAAGTTGCATACTTTTCAATGCAAAAATAATGTATAGCTTAACAGTGGCGTGCGTACAATTGTTGACTTCGGTACTTTTTAAGAAAAAAATGGTACTCCGGAACGGTTTTTTCCGTTCAATTTATAATAAATGATCTCTCTTGAATTGTTTTCCTTCATTTCCTTATTATTAATATAATTGGAAAAATTAAACACATTAGGGGTAATGAACAACAACAACCGACAACATAAACATAGCATCAAAACCAACGAAATGATTACAAAAATTGTTGAAAATGGCCCCCTTCACTTAGTATGCATGCTTCCGCCTCCTTTTCATGGAATTGCGCACTAGTTGAAATATCCCTGGAGTGTGTTTTATTCTATCACAAGCTGCAACTATTCCTCTACAGTGTTAATGGGACTTGTGTACACGAGTGTCTTAAGATAGCCGCACAAAAAGAAATCTAAACTGTTGAGGACTGGGGACCTTGGTGGCCATTCTAGGGGCCCACCGCGGCCAATCCAACGATTTGGATAAACATTTTGTAAATAATTACGAACCGCTACACTGAAATGCGCTGGTGTACCATCATGCATTTACCACAAATTGTTTCTTATTACTAACGGAACATCATCAAGCAGCAAAGGCAACCGTTGTTGAAGAAAATTGAGGTAAGTCTGTCCATCAAGTCGTCCCGGCAAGAAGAATGGGCCAATAAAGTGGTTAAAAATAATTCTTGCCCATACGTTAACCGAAAATTGGTGTTGGAAATGGGTTTCGGTTACGGCATAGGGATTTTCTTCTGCCCACAAATGATTATTGTGGAAATTCTGAATGGCAATCCGAGAAAAATTAGCTTCGACCGTGAACAGAACCATTGATTCAAATTGATGATTTTGTGTAGTTTTTTGAAGATACCACTGACAAAAGGTCACACGCCTTGGAATGTAAATGGGACGTAATGCCTGTACTCTTGAAATATGGTAAGGATATAACAAAAAAATCCACTAAAATTCTCCAAATAATTTGATGGCAAATATTTAAGTGTCTAGCGACCTTCCTCATACTCGTTTCAGGATGTTCTTCGACTTCGTGCAGCACTGCTTCCTCAATTTCAGGTGTTCTCACACTTAGAGGTCTACCTTCAGATGTTCCTTTTCGGACAGAACCAGTTTCAACAAGACGATGATGAATATTAGAAAAGGTTCGACTATCTGGCAAAGCACGATCGGGATATCTCTGGTGATAAATCCGTCTGGCTTGCTCACCATTACCGTCGGCAAGGCCATATACGTAATTTATATCTGCCATTTCTGCATTTGAATAATTCACCATTATTAACAAGATTCTAAAAACTAAATAATGATAAAGATGACACAACGAACAGATTTGAATAACAGAGACTTTTCAGATGTCAAAAGCCAGTGACATATTCCAGAGCAACTAGATATTTATTGCTAAATTGCATTCTTCAATTATTACATTAATTTGCTCGGACAATAGAACGGTTTTTATTTTTTAATGTTTTTGGTTAGTAAGTAGGATATAATTTACTATTTTGGCGAAAAGTATCAGTATTACTATTATTATTATTATTATTATTATTATTATTATTATTATTATCAGCTCCAACTTTTTTTTTAGATTCTTTGGAGACGATTTTTTTTTGTTTTTTGTAGCTTCAAGGACTTAGGAGTGGATCTAAAGAATAATTTGAAGGTGGCGGGGGAGGAGGGGGGGGAGTGGTAGGAGGAGGTGTGTAGGGGGATGAACAAGGAAAATGAAATGCTTAGAATTGCGATTAGGTGTCGATAAGAAATAGTTTCATTGAATATTTCCTTCATGTATAACGAATGCCATAAAAGGTGTGGAATTATCGCAAAATTACAAAGAATATTTTCCTCATGTATAAAAAATGCCATAAGAGGTGTGGAATTACGGCAAAATTACAGCGAAACTTGTCCAGTAGGTATCAAAAATTTCCCTATAGGTCCGTATGTATAATTAAGATTGATGGAATATGCATTTGTCATCTTGGGGAAATATTCTACCGAATTACACTCGTGTATCACAATAAACTTGATAATTTTTCATGAAAGCGTCTTGTGTAAAATGTGCCCGACTCCGAAGTGTACCTGTAATTGTGTAATTACTTCCGAAAATGTGAACATTGCCTTGAGAGGGGGGTGGGGTATCGACGATTGAAAATTGACGGACGCGGGCAGTAGCATTGGCTGCCTTGTGACAATTGAAGAGCATGGGAGGGTCCAGAGACAGTGTTAGTGAATTGCCTGTGTATTTATCTTTTTCCAGTGATTTTTGGAGGGGACTCTCTCTCTCACTTGTGCTCCAGGGATCCGATACTGATGAATTTCATCCATCCGTGCAGTAGTTATATTGATATTGCATGGTTATAAAAATATTGACAGTCGTGTAAGAAAAATCAGAGACACATTTTTGTTAAGCAGGTATCATTGAACAATAGAAAAACCTTTCAATAGCTCGCGTGGTATAACATAAAACGTAAAAAGAAGTACTGTCAGAACAATGACTACAAACCTTTCCAAACGATGCTAATTTCACTGGTATCCTTCTCGATGAACTGATAGTACCGGAGAGGCTTCATGATTTCTTTCTTTTCTCATCACATCACACACAACGAAGTGCGGCACGCATTTCGCACTATAATGATTGATTCAAGATCTGAAAAATAACGAACGAAGTTGATTGCGCTCAGACTCGAGGCTATAAATAAAAATTACATGGGTTTATGCTTTTGTTGAATTTTACTCTTGACAAACGCCGGTTATGTCATACGGAAATATAGTGTGTATACAGGGCGTGGGCAATAATACCGACCTATGTGTTTGCCAGTGTTTGTATTGTCCGGTGGAAATGAATTAAGCGCCACAGAGTTGCGCTCGTTTGCTTGCCAAGCGGATTGTATAGTGGGGTGTAATGAGGCAGCGAATTCAGGGGCCTTATCGACAACATTTTTCTATCTTTCCAAGCTAGGCCTAATAGGTGCATAGAAATACCGGGGTTGGAAGTGTATCAATATACGAAAAAAAAAAAATAAATTCGATGCACCCTCACCCAACCCTCAAATTTTAAACCCCTAAAATTTTCTTCAAAAAGGATCCGCAGGGGTATTACGTGTCTTGAAAAGTGACATTATGAAGGTTTTTTGACATTATACAGGGTGACAGGTAAATAGGTGTAAAACATTTTAGGAGGTGATAGTACAGCTCCTTTGCTATCAAAATTAGTATATAATACCATACCCTATATTCAAAGGTTAAAAAGTTATGGAAGATTTAATTTTTTTTAAAAAACAACCCAGATTACAGAGTAAAATAGTTGAGATAAAAAAAAGTTGGTGATTAAACATTCTTTTTTTGGTAGTTTCAGGTTATTATTTAAATAAATAATTCTCATAAATTAAGAAACATATGAAAATACTACTGAAAACGTATTTATTTTCATTTAAATGTTAAATGATAATCTTTATTTTCAACTTTCACATTAAGAAGTCTTTTTTTTTTAAAAAATCATAATAAAGAAAATGTACAGATAACTGCACAAACTTCCTCGTTTCATTAGGTTTCTAAAATGGTATAATAACATATCAGTAAGTAAACCATTTAACAAAACAATATTACTTTGCTAGAAAGGACCGCTAAGCGCATTTCATTGTACTGAGCAGGTAAACCGAGCCTTTCATGGTTCGACCGTTTATGTTATTTTTTGTGCCCTGTGCCGTTATTCGGGTTTAAGTATTCGGAATCTGTAGTCGCTCCTCGGAAGCAAGCTCTGCGTGTGTTATGAATTGACACAGCTGACGGATCAAGGAAAGGGAACTAACGCTTAGGTTAGTTAGTAGAATATCAACCTTTAACGCGGTAGGACGTACTTTTACTTTTTTGATCAGTTTTAATAGTGGCGAGTTACCGTAACGAAGAATACGCTGATATTCTGTTTTGTTATGGTTTAAGTGATGGAAATTCCGTTGAAGCCAGGCGAGTATACGAAAACTATTTTCCGAATCGGCGAATACCGAGTCATCGAGTATTTGCTTCTGTGTACCAACGCATCAAGGAAAGTGGACAGGTTCATGAGAGTCGTCATGATGCTGGTAGACCTCGGTTGTTTGACGACGAAGATCGAGAGGCAATACTGGAATGCTACGGCAGAGACCCGACGACGTCTACACGAGTTATAGCAAAGCAGCTTGGTTTAACTCAGTGGAAAGTTTGGTTCGTTTTGCATTCGGCGAGCCTTTACCCTTTCCATTACACACCGGTTCAAGTATTAGAAGAAGGAGATCCCGCAAGAAGAATTGATTTTTGTCGATACATGCTTCATCGAGATCAAGAAGAAAACGACTATTTAACTAAAATATTGTGGACCGACGAGTCTAAGTTTGACAGAGAGGGGACAACAAATTATCACAACTTACATTATTGGGCCCCACGAGAGGCAAATCCCCACATGGCAAAGCCAAGAGCCCATCAAAGATTTTCGGCAAACGTGTGGATGGGAATGATTCATACGTATCTAATTGGAGCAGTTTTTTGCCTGACAACCTGAATGGCGAATCCTATGAAAACTTTTTGAGATCCGAACTCTGGGAGTATCTCGAAGACCTGCCTCTGAACATCAGGATGCAGATGATCTACCAACAAGATGGCTGTTCCGCGCATTTCCGTCTGGGTGTTAGACAGTGGCTGGACGAGAAATATCCTTGTTGCTGGTGGACCGACACCGTGGCCAGCGAGGAGCCCAGATTTAACACCGTGTGACTATTATTTATGGGGGCACATGAAGTCACTGGTGCACGCTGAGCCCATAGACCCTCTTGCACAGTTGAAAGAAAGAATTATTGCTGCTGCTGACACTATCAGAGGACAACTAACTGGCCGCATCACGCGTACCAACATGAGAAAAAGACTACGGGCTTGCATAAGAAACGGCGGGCGTCAGTTCGAACAACAATTGCAATGAATTTTACCTTCATTTCATTATTGTATTTTACTTACAAATTGTAGTAACTTTTAGTCAGTTTTTATTATTCTGTAGTACAATTACAACTGTGTAAATAATCTAATCGTGTAACTTAACCGTAGTTTAAAATAATAATTATCCCATAGCTTACTGTTACATTATTTTCACAAAAACACTTTCTTATCAATCAGTGAGTTGTGAAAATAGGAGACAAGCCATTGGTAAATTTACTCCCTATTGTTGTATTACAATACATTATGTTTAGTTTCACACAGTTTTTGTGCACTTATCATACGAATTTAGATTCCTTATGAAACAAGGATATTATTTAAATTGTTTGTACGTTTTTTTGTAAAACACCTTACTTACTGTAAAACGTTATTTGTTTCTCTTAGTTAAACATTTTTGAATGAAAATAAATACGTTGTTTGGTATTGTTTTCGAATCTTTTTTAAATCTTAGTTAATTATTGAAATAATAACCCAAAACCACAAAAAACAAATGTTTAATCGCCAACTTTTTTCTCTCTCGACTTTTTTACTCTGAAATATGGATTGTTTTTAAAAACATCTTAAATCTTCAATAACTTTTCAACCTTTGAATATAGGGTATGGTATTATATACTAATTTCGATAGCAAAGGGGCTGTACTATCACCTCCTAAAATGTTTTACACCTATTTACCTATCACCCTGTATAGGTCAAGCTAATAAAAGCGTGTTAAAAAGAGAGCGATAAGAAAAGAAAATATCTGGTTGGTGAAGTATATTAAAACTAACAGGTGAGAAAATATGGTACATAGAGGAATTTTATGAATCGTAAAAAATTTATTACATTTCAAATTAATTTTTATTTCCAGTCATTTAAATTTTATAGAAATTTGGCCCCTCAGGTGACAAACGACGAATAATTCGCGATTCATAGATTGACCATGGAAGTTAGATGAATGAAGGACCGATCAGTTTTTTGAGGAGGAAGAGCGAGGTTAAGGTCCTTTTTGTTGATTTCCATCCAGAGTATATAATGAATAACAGCAACTTTCGTTCTTTTAACTAATAATCTTTTCCAATGGTATGTACTTTTGCACCACTTACGCACTTTTATTATAAGATTGTTATAGTGGGCATTTTAGTGCATTATTTTTTCTTACCATTGCTTTTTGCTACATGGAGCAAGTGTTGAAGGTTAAAAATTCAACCTTTGTGTATTTTGAGAAGACAAGTTCGTCGTAATTATTGCTGTCTAACAAACAAATTTAAATTTTAACCTTATTTCTTGACACTAATGAGAGGTTGGCGATTTTGATCCCTGTTCACAACTATTTATGATCGAAAGCACTGATTTTCGAGAATGTGTTACTTAAGGCGTTCAATACTTTTTGGCTTGGAAGTTTGAAAATAGAGGTAAAGTCATACATGAAATTGTGGAAAGTAAGTCGTTTGTATTTGATTTCCAATTCAAGTTGGTTTACGCTTTACTTGTTTTGTTTGATATGCACCTCACTATAACATTTTAACGAATCATGTTAATGAGAAAGTTATCGATTTATATAGAAAAAGGGCACTAAAAAGAAATAAAACAGGTGTAATGCGGCTTAATAAAATATAATGTTATTCAAACTATACCCAAGTGTTCTGCGCCTTTTTAACTTTGTCGCATTCTATATTGCAGAACACTAGATACAGAGTAGCATTGCTATAGATATATGCGCAGTGGCGAATATTTACAAACAGCCAAAAAAATAGAACAATATATAAGTATCGTGATGAATAAATATCACTGTGTTGATCAAGATTTGAGTAATCTTTTGCTTCATGTGCCATTTACTCCAGCACACTGGGTCTTTTAAGGGGTTGTGGCACCCACCAGGTCCATATCTAAATGAGTTATTTTTCACGTAGACAAAACTAAATTTTCATTTACATCTATTACTTTCCACGGCAATTGGTCAGGAAGTATGGTAATTCCGAAAATTTCCGATATTATGTTTATTGGAGTTTACATGATAAATTGATCTGTCACTTATTTCCGTCGATCTGTTTGCTAGTCTGTCTATCTGTAGGTCTGTCTGCCCGCTTATCCTTGGCCCATCTATAACTTGGAAAGTACTGCTCGTATATGAATGACATTTTTATACAAGGTTACACTTCTTGATAATCGATCCAGTGGCGGCGACAACAAAAAAATGAAACACCGTTTTCCGACATTTGAGTGGTACCTGACCATTTGCAGAATTTTTTTGTGTGGGTTCAAAATGGATGGGTTGGGAGTGGAAAGGGGTAGGTGCATCTTTGGTATCAGTGAAAGACGTTCTACTATTAAGAAACTTCTGAATTCTGTAATAATATGTACCAGTCAGACAAATTAAAATACTGCCCACCACTCGATAACCACAGTAAATTCACTGACCTTGACGGCAAAGTTACGGGTTTGGCGGAAATTCCAGTACTGACGTCAGGATGTTTTTTATATACTGAAGCAGCCTTGGTGCCAAAAAGGTCGACTCTGTTTCTCACATGCATTTGATTTCTAATACGCCCAGAGTTAACCTACTTGATGGCATCTTTTTGTCGGAAACTTCGATTCATAATTCGTACATTGAAATATCTAATGTTTTATGTTG